GTTGATTTGGGCAACGGCGGACATGTTGTCCGAACGAATGAGCACATGCCTGCCTGCCCGCCAGTTGGGGTAAAAAGTGCATGAGTGCGAGCAACACAGCCCGCAGCTCCAGCACATTGATATGGTGTGCACCTTCCTGGGCAGACCACTGCCCCTGCACAGTCCTGCCCTGCCACACCGCACCCCACCCCGAGAGACATGCATCCACAGTGACCGTCTCCCGGCGGGATGGGATGGCGCCCATAGGCACATCCATCAGAAGATAGGCCCTGTCCCTCCAGCGGGACAGAGAGTGGAGGCACCGCTGAGACACCCTGACTCTCTTGTGCCTGTGCCGCTTGGCGTCCAAGCGAAAGTTGTTCAGCCACATCTGCATGGGGCGCAGTGATAGCAGGCCCAAGGGCACAACGGCTGAGGCAGCTGTCAGTCTGCCTAAGAGCCGGAGGAACTGGATGTAAGGCACCCTCTTGCCCAGTCTGAAGATGCGAAGATGGTGGGAAATGTCGTCCACACGACGAGGCGTCAAGTAGGCCCTCATGGCGACCGAGTCTAGGACCATCCCCAGGTAAATGACCTGTTGGGAAGGCAACTCCAGGCAACTCTTCCCGGCGTTCACTGTTAGGCCCAACCGGGCTACATGGGATGAGAGGCGCGCCGTATCCTGGGCCACTTGGGCCCGGGACGGCGCGCAAACCAGCCAGTCGTCCAGATATGGCAGGACCTTCATGCCCTGTGCCTGCAGGGGAGCGAGCGCTGCCGCTACAACCCTGGTGAACACCCTTGGAGAGAGGGAGAGACCAAAGGGAAGCACCCGGAACTGATAATGTCGGCCCTGAAAGGCGAACCTCAAGAACTTCCGGTGATGGGATGCAATTGGCACGTGGAAGTAGGCGTCCTTCAAGTCCACGGTTGTGAACCACTCCCCCTGTGTGACAACACGAAGGGTGTCTGCTGTAGTTAGCATATGGAAGGGCAGTACCTTCAAGAATCTGTTGATTCCTCTGAGGTCCAGAACTGGACGGAATCCGCCAACTTTCTTGCTCACAAGAAAGTACGCCGAGTAGAACCCCCCGCCCTGAAGCAGGGGGTCCACTGGCTCGATTGCGCCCTTGGCCAAGAGGACGGACAACTCTTGGGCCAGAGCTAAGGCCTTCGCCGGGTCGTTGACAACTGTCATACTGACCCGGCCGAAGGCTAGGGGCCGGTGTCGGAACTGCAATTCGTAGCCCTGGGTTAGGATGGAAATCACAGGTCGCCCCAGGTCACAGGTCGCCCCAGGTCGCCTGGAAGCCAGGCGACCTGGGGCACGAAAGTCATCGGCCGGTTGTGTGGGCCGCTGGGACCTCTGCAGACCACCCCTGTAAGCCGGTGGCTGAGTGCGGCTGCTAGAGCGGCCCCTGGGCCTGCTGGGAGTGGCCACGGGTCTGCGAAGACCCGAGAGCTGCTGCCTGGTCTGCCTAGCTTGGGCAGCGCGCTCCAGCGCCTCCAGGGCAGCTGACCCAAACAGCTCCCCTGGCACGACTGGCACGCTACGGAGGACTCTCCTACATGTCTCCGTCAGTGGTGACTGGGCCAGCCAAACCTGGCGACGAGTATGTACCAGAAAGGACATAACTCGTCCCAATTCCCTAGTCATTAGGGCAAAGGCCTGCAGTGATGCATCACTGAGGCCCAGCAAAGAAGGCTCGGCCGGAGCCTGCTGCAGCGAGGCGGAGACGGCCAGCATTAGATGGGAGAGGGAGTTCCCGATACGACCCATGCGTGCTGCTGCGTCGTAGGCCCTACAGAGCAGCCCATCTGTGACCCTGCACTGAGGCTGAGGGCACCTGACCACAGGCCTTAGAGCCTCGTCAGGAGCCAGAATCAGGGAGGCGATGGCAGGCTCAATGGGTGGCATGCCACCCAGCCCCACCCTCGCCGGGTCCTGCATGGCAGCCAAGGTCCGGGCATCGGAGCCAGCGTGGCCGAGGGCCCTGGTGTTCCTCCAGCATGCCTGGAGCTCCCTCAGGTACTCCTCTGAAGGAGGAACGGTGAGGGGGACAGGGGCTGGGCTACGCCTGAAGAAGGCACTAGCCTGAACTAAGTCGGCCTGCGGAACCGGAATCTGCAGGTGCGCCAGGGCCGTACGAATAATGGCCGCCATGGAGTCGTCATCCACGCCCTGCCGAGACCCCTGAGCAGAGGAGAGGGAAGCCTCCTTGAGCGGGACCTCGCCCTCCGTCTCTTCATTGAAGAGGTTAGCCGAAGCCGCTAGCGACAAGGCATCCTCATACAGAAGTGCGGCAACCGAAGGAGGGGCGGCAACCGAAGGAGGGGCAGGCGGCACACTAGCAGCACCTATACCGGGCCCTGGCTGAAGGGCCAAGAGGAGCGACTTCATTGTGTCCATGTCGGTAGCCAGCTGATCCACTTTAGAGGACAGCCTGTTTCTAGTCCTCCTATTGGGGGGTGCACCCATGGCCATCGCTCCCTCAAGTCGCCGGGGACGGCCGAACTGATCTGGAGGAGGATGTGACCAAGAGAGGTGTCCATTGGCTGCCGCCAGCTGTTCCACCTCAGTGAGTCTAGCCATTCTGAGTGCCCGGGGCATGCAGCTACAGTTCATGCAGGCCCCTACCGTGAGAGCCTCCCTTAGATGCTCGAGGCCGAGGCAAGAGGGGCAGCGGTCATGGCCGTCCTCGGGCTCAAGAGAAGCCATACAGGCGCTACATGCATGAGCCATTCTGTAGGTAGCCAGACGCAGCGTAGCCGGGAGCGGGTGCGGGAACACAGCCTTCACCAGCTACCTGCTTCACAGAAAGAGTAGAGCCGCGCCGCTACTCGCCAAACAGAAAGAGGGATGTAAGTATACCCACGTTACCGGCAGAGGGAGCGGGAGCGAGAGCACTGCCTTCACCTAGCTGGGTTAATAAATAAGGCAGTTTACCAGGAGCGGGGGCGAGAACACTGCCTTCACTGGTTGAGCTAGAGGCGAGTGCCAGATGCAGCCTAACCGGGAGCGGGTGCGGGAACACAGCCTTCACCAGCTACCTGCTTAACGGGAACAGGGCAATTTAGCGTCTACCAGGAGCGGGGGCGAGAACACTGCCTTCACTGGTTGAGCTAGAGGCGAGTGCCAGATGCAGCGTAACCGGGAGCGGGTGCGGGAACACAGCCTTCACCAGCTACCTGCTTAACGGGAACAGGGCAATTTAGCGTCTACCAGGAGCGGGGGCGAGAACACTGCCTTCACTGGTTAATTTAAGACAAATGCCAGATGCAGCGGGAGCGGGTGCGGGAACACCGCCTTCACCAGCTACCTGCTCAACGGAATAAACAAGGCAGTTTAGCGTCTACCAGGAGCGGGGGCGAGAACACTGCCTTCACTGGTTAAATTAAACACGAGTGCCAGATGCAGCGTAACCGGGAGCGGGTGCGAGAGCACAGCCTTCACCAGCTACCTGCTTAAAGGAATAAACAAGGCAGTTTAGCGTCTACCAGGAGCGGGGGCGAGAACACTGCCTTCACTGGTTAAATTAAACAGGAATGCCAGATGCAGCGTAACCGGGAGCAGGTGCGAGAGCACAACCTTCATCAGCTACCTGCTTAAAAGGAATAAACAAGGTAGTTTCGCGTCTACCAGGAGCGGGGGCGAGAGCACTACCTTCACTGGTTAAATTAAAGACGAATGCCTACCTGCTGAACGGGAAGAGTAGAGCGGTGCTGCTACTCGCCGAACAAACAAAGGGGATGTAGCTACACCCCAAATCAAGAAGCTTTACACAAGCTAAGACCGGAAACTGGCTTCTAAAGAAAAAACAGCACGGGAAACTCCGGTGCTTAACACGGCGTCAGCCGAGTGGCTGCAGCGCTACTGCTAACTAGCTCAATGCTAATGAAGTTCGCAGAATAAGTACAAAAGCACAGCAAGGGCAACTCCTGGGAGAGGGAGCGGAAACACCTCCGTCACCATAAAAGTTGAAGCCCAAAAAGCAAAACAGACAGTAACGGGACAACTAGGTTGGGAGAGGGAGCGAAAACACTGCCATCACCAACCAAGCCGACACCAACCTGTCCGAACGAAGTCTCTGCACAGCCAGCCACAGCTCCTGGAGGACGGGTAAACCCGCGGCCCCGACTGGATGAGTCGCGAAGCTGCACGCAGCCAGCTGTTTGCAGAGAATCCTTAACAAATATTCCAACCGAACGAACGCTGTAGGCTACAAAAAATGTAGCCAAGGTACTCTCGCGCAGCGAGAAGATGAAAGGAACAGATCCACTGACGACACCGGCTGATATAGCCGGTGTCACGTGGGTCACAGGTGACTTTGTTGGTATTGGTACTCGAGCTGCGCATGCGCGCGATGGACACATCCAGTGCTAAAGCACCGCCTCTGGCGGTCAGTAGGGACGAAATAGAACCAAGTTTAAAGTGGTTGTTCTGAAGACGTCAAAGACATGGTGCTGCTTCTACTGTCCTACTTTGATGAGAAAGAAGACACGATGTTCTGTTATGTGGAGGACACATGCCTGGCAGAGGAAGTACAGATGGACCAAGTTCAGTTGACTCCCACCATTGTTGTGTGTGGTAAGTAAAAACGTTCACTCTACTTTTTTCTGTTCTTTCTGCCACTTCTTTCTCTCTTTTCTGTCTAATTTGAGACGTTTATGTTGCACAATGTTTTTTTTTACTGTAAGCTCGTAAAGGGCTAGTTTGGATGCTTATGGATACTTATCCATAGTCAGTGTATTGCTTACATGTCTTTGGAGGAACAGGCAGGAGTACGGGTAGTATGTAAAGCTGTGGATGGGTGCAGCAGCAAAACGTATTTTAGCCACCTAAAAATTCAGTTTATGTGTACGCTATATTTATAATATTGTCACAAATGTACCCTGCTGCTTCAGTCCCTATCAGAAACAGACTGTATAGCTGTATGACAGCAAGGTAGAGCTTTGAAAATATTCATTGCTTAGCTGTCTGCTGGTTCCCCTCTCTGTTTCTCCAAACTGTAGCTCCGACAACCCCCCTTCAAACAATATGAACTACCCCCTAAAAGCAATAAAAATTACATTTATCTCCCCTTAACCTGCAAATACACATACATACATTTTTGTATTGATGGTGAGCAATTTAACAGACCTTAAAATGTAATAACATGTGTGCTAAAATTGTTTTGTGAAATGTTTCAGGAAGACAAGTCTTGTTTTAATTTAGTTTGAGTTGTGTTTTTCTTCTTTTTTCGGACGAACATGCTATTCTTAAAGGCGATTCATGCTGAGTGTGGATCGAAACATAGTACAGGACAACATCCCCTCCTTGGTTTCTGCCCTGTCCATGATGTTTGGGAGCTATTATTGCTTCAACATCGCCTACCCGTCAGAGCTGGCATCCACCCTGGAGTTTGTCCAGAGGTATGTGTTTTTTGGGATTGGCTTTATCCAACAATTTATTTTATTAAACTGCAACAAATCTAAAGCAGCTGCTTCAGTGAATTGGGGGTTAAGATAATTGTCAGTTATTGCTTGATGTGAAGTTTTTTGTTGTTGGGCAAGCTATTTTATTATTAATTCTGTTGTTTGTTTGTATTTTTATTTTAAGGTGTTTTTTCTCCATCAACCCAGAGAAGGGCACCAAAGTGGAGAAGACATCCCGTCTTCAGGTGAACCCGAGAGTCCTCACCTTGATACAGGAACTTTCGGACCATGAGTGGCGTAATGTCTGAATATGGACAGTAAGATCAATGGCATGTGGCGATGTGCCCAAGTTACAGTTTGTTTGATTGTTTAAATCGTAGTTACAATTTTAAGTGCCTTTTTTTTATGTTCTTTTAACTAATTTAAAAAAATGCAATATGTAACTCTCAAAATGTCAAACTATTCTTTTAAGGTCATTGTAGCCACTCTTGCGGTTTGCTGTTACAAAGTGAAGTTGCTTAAACAATCTTCATTTGGCTTATGTGGATGTAAAAGCTCAGGACATTACTGTTGAGTGTAAAAATGTTGACGTGTTTTGTTTTCCACTTGGGTTTTTGCTTCTGAAGTGAAGGGTCTCTGCTGACCCTACCTCTTCACCTATCTCACTTAGACACACACTCATATGTTTTGTAACTGTAGCTTCATCACGTACACACTTCCTTTAGCAATGAACATGTATTCAACTAAGACAATCCCTTATTTTGGCAAATGTATAGCTCAGTCTGTGGCTGTGACAGTCGAGTATTATATTATACAGGTGCCCACTATAAGAGATGAGACATATAAAGTACTAACATATTTGAAAACATTATTTCCCATAAATCATTTGATGTGATGTAAGTAACACTCACTTCCTATGTTTGCTTCCTTTGCCCCTTCAACAATATTCTCCTCCTCTTGCTTTGTTTTTTTAATTCCCACCTCGTCTGTCGCCGTCGTCCTTTTGCGCTTCCTCTGAGTATTCCTTTTCTTTACTTCTACTTTTCCATCCTTGTCTTTCTTCATTAGTTGCTCCTGCCTCTTTCTTCTCTCCAATAGTTCATTAGCCTTCACATTTCCCCCACTTATCCTTCCCTCACTTGCACCCTGTTCCTTCCTAACCTTGTTTAAAATAACTTCGGGTTGTCTCCTCAGACAAGAGACAAAAAGGGAGCAGAGGGAAGGGTCTTCAGGCAGCTTTTTGACGCCCAGCTGCATCATACAGGACTTAAGAGCTGCTCTGTCCTCTACTCTCTCACTTGTCGTGTTGCTTATCCTCTTTTTCCCAGATGTAGTCATGCCTAATATTTCCTCATCGGATTCACTTTCCATCATGTCAGGTTGCTTGTGTTTCATTCCGTTGCTTTCCTTCCTCTCCTCTTCCACTTGTTCTTCACCTTTGATCGAGTATTATATTATACAGGTGCCCACTATAAGAGATGAGACATATAAAGTACTAAAAATATTTTAAAAAAGTATTTCCCATAAATCATTTGATGTGATGTAAGTAACCTCTCAACTTTGTTCAGCTTGAATTTCCTGGACAATGTGAGCTGTTTGTTTATTGTGCAGCCTTAGTTTGTATGTTTTACCAATATGTATGTTGAGAAATGACAGATGTTTTTGATCACTGCTATTATATAATAAAGTCTTGGAAAGGCAAGTTCTTGTTGGAATTTGTTCAACTTTTAATACAGTGGCTCTTGAGGTGTATCTAGCTTTGCATTTTTTATTTTAAGTGCTTAATCTGTGTACCCTGGATTACATTCTTCACATTTCTGGTAATAGTCAAACATATATATACGAAGGCAGTGTAGTTTAAATGAAATCTTTCAATCTGACTAATGTATAGGAAAAACTTTTTTTTTCCACTGAGCAATAATCCTTACAGGCGGTTTTATACTATATATTTGAGATTGATATTCATAGACAGTTTTTTCTGCATTTTAATTGTAATAAATACGTTTTACAGAAAACTTAAATTGCAGTATTTAGATGTTGCTTTCACCTAAAACACAGCATTACACTGATGCTTTTACAGTTAAACAGTGTTATTTGTTTGGTATGTTTCTGTAAAATTGAATGGGATTCAATGTACAATATACAACAACTGCATGTAAATCTTACTGAAATAATGAGTTTAATAGCAACGTGATCATGCTAATTCAGCAGAAAAGGGCTGTTGAAATTACAGATTTAAAATGTAAATTACAACAGTTTTAAACTGTAAAATATACACGTTATTCTGTAAAGTTGTTTACAGTTTACCGTATTTTTTACATCATTATTCTGGCAACAAAGCTGCCAGGTTTTTACCGTAAAAACAACGTTGTTTTTTTTACAGTGTAGCCAATAGAAGATGTTGGTTGGGAATAGAGGAGGTGTGTTTTTGGGGTTTCGATCCGGTTTTTTGAGCATAAAGAGACTGGTTTTTTGAGAGAGAAGGGGAAACCGCTGGTATACTCTCTCCCGGTGAGCTCTGGCCTCAGAGCTGGGTAAATAGCTCTCGGTAAGGTTCTCTCAAACTTGGTAAATATCTCTTGATTTTTTCTTTGAATACTGAGTGAATTTCTTTCTATTACGTACAGGACCTTATGACTAATAATTCTAGTTAGACCTTGCCTGGAATGCGTGATTATTACGTACAGGACTTTATGACTAATAATTCTAGTTAGACCTTGCCTGGAAAACATGAAAATGTATCAGGATTTTAGAACTAATTAGAAAACCTACGCCATCACGAGGAAATTCCTTTTAAATTTCGTCGGAAGACTTTAAATGGGAGAAATATTAATTAAGGTTTTAGATAAAAATATAACCCCAGCATGATATGTTTCGTATGATTATAATGTGTTAAAGAGAGAAGGTAAAAACCCTGTATTAGTTTGGACCTATTTTTCTTCAAATAAACTGATCTCACCTTTTGGACTGGGACAACTAAAAGAAAATCTGTGCTCTCCTCTCCTGCTTCAAAGGTAAGACTGCACCCTGCCACACTCACGTTTAGGTAGGAACACACCCCATTTACTGATATCAAAATCCTTCGGGATCCCTTAAACAGATTAAAAAGAGTTGTCTGAATTGAAACAGCAGTTAATTGAACCTGGTTCTTCGGGGGGTTAGTAGGGGTGAGATCTTGCTGACGTTGGTGGATCTGAGCCAAGCAGTAAACTTACATAGACTCAATAACTTCGGTCAGGTCAATTAGTAGGTCAGAGTAATTTACCGGAATAAATTATCGGGACCTCGCCGACTCTAAACATCATATATAGCTACAGTGTAGATATGTCAATGAAAATCTTAGGTCACAGACTCCTCCAACGGTGCAACATAATAAAACAGACAAAATAGTTAAAATAGTGCAAGTAATACAAATACAATTCTATCTTGAATTTCTATATGGCAGATTTTTCAATTACTGCAGATTCTCGTGTAAATTAACTTGCAGCTATGGCCACAAACATTTCAGTTAGAAAAGGTTGCAGCTTTTTAGCTTTATTACAAACAATTCCAGTGGAGTGTCCAAAATGACCCACGAGCAAAAGTATGCATCAGCGAGGTGGGTTCCAATTTGTATCTATCAAAATATGTGGTCTTTGTGTGTGTGAGACAAACAAATGTTTCACTCTGTTGACACTCTAGTGCATTTCAGTCAAAAACCTTGGTTTCCCGGTACATGACCATCTCATCATTCCACAACTCAGAATCACACTGTTTGCAAACACAGTTTTCCAGTCACTCTCACCAGGCACACATTACTGAGCAAAGTGTTTGCTCTTCTGTTTGATGTTACAAAGTGATCCAAAGTCCAGCAGATATCCGAGCACCTGTTTGCTACAGGAAGTGTTTATTTATGGGAAGTGTTAGGGACCACAAAAAGGCTAAAAGTCAGCAACAAAAGAAAGCCTCTGTTATGTGGATTGTTTTGTGTCTGCAAGTTCTCCAATCTTATTTAAGATGAGTACAGGTTTAAAACCATATGAAATGGTTGATAGATTTAGATAGATTTCAAGCTGTTTACGATGAATAGCCATAATGAGGTCAGGTTTACATTTATAGTGTAACGTGTTCAGCTGAATCACTAAAAATGTGACTTCATCAGTGTGAGTGTGTGACCAAAATAAAGCACCAAACGTCAGTGTTGTAACACTGTAGTGCCTAGACCAGGGGTGGCCAACCAATCAGAGGTAAAGAGCCAATAATTTTCCTGTGTTACTGCAAAGAGCCACATCATACAGTACACACAGGCACACATAGTGGGTGTATGTCCCCCGACCTCTCTCTCCTTCTCTCTTTTGCTCTCAGCCTTTCTGTGTGCTCCCTCACTCTCTTCCTCTATGTGCCCCTCTCTATCTCTCACACATACAAAATGAAAATCTAAAAATGAACAATAATTGACACACACACACACACACACACACACACACACACACACACACACACACACACTCACATACATAAACACATACCTCCGCTCAGCCAGATTTCCTATAAATGTCACAGTCCATGATATTGACAGAAATTGACTTAAACCTCTCCTACCAGTATTAAGACCAGAGGCCAGTTATAGTCAACCATTAATATTGTGTCTCACACAAACTCTCAGTTAAAAACATTTGAAAAAAGTAGTTATCTTACTATGAATGTTGCTTCTTGAAATGTGCAGAGGATGTGGAAGGGGCTCGAATGCATGAAAGGGCACATTTGCGATCTTTGCGACTTTTTTCTCCCTGTCTGTATCTCACACACAGATTCATGACAGTTATTTAAAAATAAATAAAGTGTATTTTTGTTAATTCTCCTCACATGACATCTCAACTTTTACCTAACCCTCTGACTGACAGAAGCTCTGCTGACAGAGATGCACTTTCTCTCTTGTTTATTTCTTTACCGCGAATCACCAAATTCGGGAGCCCTTCTGTGTCAGTAGCCAGCTTTCCGGGAGCAGGTCTTCTCACATACACATATACAACTGCAAATTGTTACCGTTTTGATTTGACAACATTATATTGAGTTATTACGGTTTTATCTGAGTTATATTTCTGCCAATCGGAAGCAGATCTCTCCCTTCACTGTCACATCGCGAGTGCAGTAAAGCCCGCCTCCAGTATTGCAGGATCTGCATTTTGAGTGGCTAAAGCACTTCTTTGTTGAAAACTCGGTGTAACGATTGGGCTGGAACTTGTGTGTTGTTAACCCTTTGTGAACTGGGATACATATGCGCAAACAAAACAAAACACAATTAAAATTCGATATGAACTGAGGAGCCGCATGAGACTGGGCAAAGAGCCGCATGCGGCTCGAGAGCCGCGGGTTGGCCACTCCTGGCCGAGACGATTCAATGTGTTTTTATGTGTGGACTGGGTGCTGACGTTTACCATCTGTACTAGTTACTGTATTATCAGTCTGTCAAAGACATCTATTATCCTTAGACAAAGTAAAAGGCCCGGACAAACTAAACATTCATAATTAATTACTGGCCAACAAAATTGCATTTGAACACACCTCAAAGACTGTCAGCCAATCTGACCGACCAAAATTGACCAAATGGATGAAAATCAGCTTTATGTGCAAAGGCAAAAAAGAGGGCTGACCCAGCCTCTGCTTCCAAATGGTTAGATGCTGGATGTAACAATACAACATTAAAACCAGTTAAAAACAAATTCCTCATGTTAGCAAATTATTTTGTAATTAAACCCAATTGTAATTGATGCCCACTATTTTACCTCTCAAACCACTCTGTAATCATGCATGTTGTGGGCCCTTTTTTTTATTTGGCAAGTGCAATGAACAAGGTTAAAACTCTGAAACACAGTTTTCCCCAGAATTCACCATCCCTCCTGACTCACAGTTCATCTTCCAGTTAAATCTAGGTGGGGCAAATGGCTCATCTTTATGATAAGACAGTGTTGTGACAGATGGTATGATGTCAATGAACTGATCCTCTATTGTGTCAAACTCAAATACACAGTGGGCCAAAAAAAAACAAAAATGGGTACTAGTCGAGGGCCGGACTGGTTCAATGTTTATTGCAAAACGTATTGAAATGAACTTATTGCACATATTAAACCTGGAACTAACAAAGCTTAAATGATTGCCTATAAAAACAACATTAAACATTAAATAATCAGTTGCATTCATTTCTTATGGCTCTATCTGCAGCTTTTCCAGAGTCATTTCTTATGATTACATTTTTCCACAGGCCAACAACAGCTTCAAAAAACTATTTCCCTCAAAGAAAAAAACAAACATGCCCTGTTGTCGTGAGAAAAAAAGTGCAGAAGGAAACATCCATTGAAAGTCAGTGTGCTGCTCTGTGATGCTCAAGCCAGATACTTGGCATCTCATCTCGGGTGCAAGTTCATCAATGTTTGGGGTCAGGCTCTGAGCTGAGGAGATCCTCAGGATGGAGTGAAGGTGTGCGTGCAATATACCGGCGGGCCAGATCTAATAGTAATCAAAAATTATCCTGCGGGCCAAAATTAAATCCACCACGGGTCTGATTTGGCCCCCGGGCCTTGAGTTTGACACATGTGCACTAGTCTCCCCAATAGTTACAACAAATTTGTACATATCTAATAAGATAAATGACTTGATTTTACACCTCAGAGGCTACAATCAGTAAAAAATATATATATATAAACATAAAGCACATAAACTGACAGACCTTTGCATACACCAGCAACATCCACCCCTTAACTTATACAGCAACAAAGGCCCCAGTGTCTCAGAGGGGATGATAAACTCACTTTAAAATGTTACTTCCACACGACAAACACTTTCACACATGCACACACCCACAGAGGACTGTAGACTTTTGGTAAGTGATGTCAGAGGTCACTGAGGGGGATGAGGTGGAGTGAGTGAGTGAGTTAGTGAGTGTTTCAGGGTCAGTGTGTTAGACAGATGGGAGGGACAGTCTTGTGCGTATAAATATAGGACTGTGATGAAAACCAAGCATGAATAGAAGACTGTCGATGCACTAGAGGACACTTGGAGAAACATTTTTTATAGATTTGAATAATAGGAAGATCCGCAATGGCCAACCACAATGGTAAGTGATTTTCTCTCTCCATCCATCCATCTATCTATCTATCTATCTGTCTATCTATCTATCTATCTATCTATCTATCTATCTATCTATCTATCTATCTATCTATCTATCTATCTATCTATCTATCTATCTATCTATCTATCTATCTATCTATCTATCTATCTATCTATCTATCTATCTATCTATCTATCTATCTATCTATCTATCTATCTATCTATCTATCTATCTATCTATCTATATATCTATCTATCTATCTATCTACCTATATATCTGTCTATCTGTCTATCCATCTATCTATCCGTCTATCCATCTATCTATCTGTCTATCCATCTATCTATCTGTCTGTCCATCTATCTATCTGTCTATCTATCTATCTATCTATCTATCTATCTATCTATCTATCTATCTATCTATCTATCTGTCTGTCTGTCTATCCATCTATCTATCCGTCTATCCATCTATCTATCTGTCTATCCATCTATCTATCTGTCTATATCTATCTATCTATCTATCTATCTATCTATCTATCTATCTATCTATCTATCTATCTATCTATCTATCTATCTGTCTGTCTGTCTATCCATCTATCTATCCGTCTATCCATCTATCTATCTATCTATCTATCTATCTATCTATCTATCTATCTATCTATCTATCTATCTATCTATCTATCTATCTATCTATCTATCTGTCTATCTATCTATCTATCTATCTATCTGTCTGTCTGTCTATCCATCTATCTATCCGTCTATCCATCTATCTATCTGTCTATCCATCTATCTATCTGTCTATCTATCTATCTATCTATCTATCTATCTATCTATCTATCTATCTATCTATCTATCTATCTATCTGTCTGTCTGTCTATCCATCTATCTATCCGTCTATCCATCTATCTATCTATCTATCTATCTATCTATCTATCTATCTATCTATCTATCTATCTATCTATCTATCTATCTATCTATCTATCTATCTATCTGTCTATCTATCTATCTATCTATCTATCTATCTATCTATCTATCTATCTATCTATCTATCATGTATGTTTAAGTAATGTATACATATGTTGCAATGCTTCTCTCTGCAGCCCATAAATGTTATATTACGTATATTATGGAGTGTGTGAAAAATGTGCTGATGCACGATTCAACACTTAGGTGTGATATGACCCATCCTCATTCCTGTAACAAGTCAAATATATAGCTAAGAGAGGAATCATACTGGCTAAATAAGGCTATATTTTTAAAACAGAATACATAAACAATGTTTTGCTTTTGGCTTGCCACAGCTTCATGAATTTAGGTCTTTCATTCCATTTAGGGAAAGTTCAATATTTTGGGAATACACATATTCACTCTCTTGAAGGGTGTTGGATAACAACAACAAATAGCACAAATTAAACCAAAAAATACCATGTTAATCAGTAAGCTTAACGGGTGTTGGTTGGCAGATTGTGTTACCTTTAGCAAAGTTTATTCCTTCTTTTTCCAGTCTTTATGCAACGCGAAGCTAACAGTTTCCTAGGTGTTGCTTTATATTTAGTTAACAGTATTGATGTTGTCATTTAGCTGTTCGCATGAGTGAATAAGTGTATTTCCGCCCAAGAGAACATCATATCCATCAAGTTCAACTTATGACTTGTAACCTCAATGCTACTCTTTGCCAACTCTGAGTGAGGTCACAACTCTGGTGAAACACTCCTATCAATGCCAACATTTCATTTAGCAACCAGACAGCGTCAGTGTATCCAAGACTGATGGATGAACTTTGTCTCTGTTAGGTTTGATTACTGATGTGGATCTAAGGAGTCATGAAAACAACTTGGCTCATCGCACCAGGGAGATTGATAGGGAGCGCCTGATTGTTCGTAGGGGTCAGCCCTTTTCCATAAGTTTACAGTGCTACGTGTCTTTGCCCCCCAAACACCAACTGGAACTGATCCTGCACCTTGGTGAGTACAGCCTCATTTGGATACTGGGGGACTACAACAAATATGTATTCAGTATATATACCAATCAAAATAGTCAAATGCTTACTGTTAGCTGCAACAACGCTATTACACAAAGGAATACGCTACAGGTTTTGGTAAAACAGATTTGTTAGTCAGGCTTGTTAGTTGGTCCTTAGGATCAGTTGGGCTTTGTTTCCAATAATACAAAATCACAATTACAACCTGGCTTAGATACACAAGTGTTCACTTGATAATTTTAAACAAATACAAATAGTTGTTTGCAAAAATAATTGTTATTTAGTTATTGACCCAAACTCGATCTCTGTAAAACAGGTTGGGAAAACGAGTTTATTTGTCACAAATCTCCATTTTATTCATAGTATTGTATTTAATCGATATCCTACGAATCCCCTAAAGGTTCATGGAAAAGAAAAAAAGTATCTCGTGTGCACGATATACTTTTTCGTGCGCACAGGAAAGTTACCGGTGCGCCAAGTAGGAAGTGGAGCACACAGGAGACCACCACATTGCAGACTGTTATGTTTATGTGGGGAAATGGCAGTGCATACATTATTTGAGATATATTTCAAACTCGCACTTCATTTTAAGGACATTTTGGCCAGGGGTGTAGGGCTATTTGTTTAAGCACTGGATCCGCAAAACAGGAGAGTCTTTAAACCAGTCTGCCTTGATCTATGAATTAATGTCCGTGTGACTCTCACAGTGCTATCTGCGCGTAGAGAGCTGTGCCTGTTCAACACATCCTCACTCCCAGGTAGGCCTATGTTGACGTTATGTCAAGTCCCCTGTCGGCTTTTTCCAGCGTCCATTTTCAACGCAAGGGGGGCCCCTTAGCGTCCATTTTCAGCTTTCCGGGATGTCCATATGCTTCTATAGACGCTCATGGAAGCACGGCATTCGTTTGTGTCGGCTGCCCTTAAAGGCAATGTGAGCGTCCATTATCATTGGATAACGGAGAATTGTACACCCGGAAGTAAGTATTCCCCTTACTGTCGATTGATTTTACAGTGATATCTGCACTACTCATCGACTAAAAAACACCAGATTATCCTTGTTAATTACACAACATTGATTGGTTTAAATTGTGTGCAATGCTTTTGTATTTTTCCCCTTCGATTCGGAGAAACAAATATGTTTTCGGAGTAAAGGATGGCAGAAGACACTACACTACCCAGAATCCCCAGCTATCGTTTGGACTACCATGTGCTCTGTTTGACGTCACGTGATCTTCAAATTTCTCCCTGAAGAAAAAAAAAACATGGCCGAACTTCGTTTTATTCTCGATGGAAAATGCCTATTTTAAAGTTAGTTTGGCCATTAAAATGCGTTTTGATGTCATTTGATGCGAGAAATATGAGTTGTTATTTCAGATTATGTGTGCAGTGGATGTACATGATCTTTAGTTTGCTAGTTATTACGAAGATTACTTCAGGAAATTGCGTCCATAACGTTTTCATTGTTACCAAGGTGGTTGCTAGGGACGCTGCTATCGATATTATTTCTGTTATGTTGTTTAACTGTTTAATGGTGTTATCTTTATTGCTACCCCCCTTCCCCGTCAATGTATAGTGTTGGTCCACAGCGAAAACATATTAGTTTAACAAAATCCGCATCTAAAGATAGCCTACGTTATTTTCCCCTGTGCAATTCCAGTCTCACATCTCACAGCACATCGTCATGAACAAATAACGGAAACAGACCGAAAACATTTAAAAAAAATAAAATAATACTTTATTCCGAGTGTGCTTGCTTTTCTCTTTGGAAGTCATCACATAACGGCATTGTAATACACGGTTCGGCTGCATTAAATATTACATATCTGCCGTAGTTCTGTATTTATAGAGCCCTGATGAGAAGACTTCTAGACAAACATGAGGAACTGAAAACGTGACGTGGATCATAAATATATCAGCCATTAAACAACATCTTACATTTCTTTTCACACAATACGTCTCCTTGCAGTATCAACACTAATTCAGCTGACTTTTATATTTGATCCAATTGGTAGATAGGCTGTATTTACACCATAAAGGTGCACAGCTGATATAAAGGGACACCTAGTGGTTAAAGCATGTTATTGAATTTCATTATTTTTATCATTAGATATTAATAGGATCCCTATAAAGTATATTAATTACTCGTTATTCTCTACTAATAGTCCATTAAAGACTGTATATAATGACTATTTTGCACATCCCTTTCAAGATTTCAAGATTTTCTAAGGTTTATTGACATATCATATAGGCCTACACAACTATGGTGTAGTTATGCATTGAATGAAAAACTTGGGTCGCAGGTTCCTCAATAGTGCATTACAAGACATCTATCAATATTTGTGCGTACCTCCAGCAATGTTAACTATGTTGAAGCACTTATTTTAACTGATATTATACATAATGTATTATACTCTTATAAGATGTATGTAGATATTTCATCTCCGACCTTGTCAGGTATTGAACAATCAATAAATAAAGAACACAGAATTGTTGAATATAAAACACAGATATTGTGTGATTATACTAAATTATTTACAAATAAACACCACTGCATATTTAACTGTTACACATGCTGATGTAACGCAAATGTTCCAACTTGGGATCAATAAAGTATATCTTATCTTAAGCTGATCGATGGCTACTGCCATATTTGCAAAATGTGCCTCTGAACCTTAACAAGTGCATGTTTCAGGCTTATCAATTAATGTAATGTAATGTAATGTTATCAATTAACAACAGGGGTCACAAACATAAGACCAGCTGTTAAATAAAGCTCTTCTGACCTTAGCTGGCATGTGTGTATATATATATTAATGCTGCCCATTATGGGCACAAGCAATTGTCACCCATTTATTAATTATATGTTTTAAATGTGAGTGTTTCCTATCCCCTAAACCTCCAGGGATGTACACAGTTTAATACTGGCAACTTCTTATTATGGGAAATACGAAAACGTCTTTTAAAACTACAACTCCCAGTTGAGACGTGCCATAGATACAGAACATGTTGCGAAACAGAATAGCCAGCATTTGTAGTTCTGGGGACAGGGTGGGGGAGGGGGGACGCGGTGGACCCGTTCAAATCCAGTTTTGGACAGTCTGTGTGGTTCCATCCCATTTCAAGTGCTGTTCGAGGCTCGGCGTAACCCTCGGAGCACACTCTCCAATCACAGAGCTTGAGGACTATCACGGGGTTTGTCAAACAGAGCACATGGTGTAGTCCAAACGATAGCTGGGGATTCTGGGTAGTGTAGTGTCTTCTGCCATCCTTTACTCAGAAAAAACATTTGTTTCTCCGAATCGAAGGGGAAAAATACAAAAGCATTGCACACAATTTAAACCAATCAATGTTGTGTAATTAACAAGGATAATCTGGTGTTTTTTAGTCGATGAGTAGTGCAGATATCACTGTAAAATCAATCGACAGTAAGGGGAATACTTACTTCCGGGTGTACAATTCTCCGTTATCCAATGAGAATGGACGCTCACATTGCCTTTAAGGGCAGCCGACACAAACGAATGCCGTGCTTCCATGAGCGTCTATAGAAGCATATGGACATCCCGGAAAGCTGAAAATGGACGCTAAGGGCCCCCCTTGCGTTGAAAATGGACGCTAAGGCCCCCCCCCTTGCGTTGGAAAAAGCCGACAGGGAACTTGACATAACGTCAACATAGGCATAGGATGTGTTGGCCTGTTACGCACCGCCTTCACTGTGTTTACCTTAATTAGAACAGCTGAATAGAGATCGAGGCTGCTTCGTTTTAACCAGACACACACACACACACACACACACACACACACACACCTCTACACACATCAAACTGCCCGATTATTCCCCCTATTACTCGTTTTATGAAGGAGATGTCCGGTCACCAGGGCGCATGATGTGTGTGTGTGTGTGTGTGTGTGTGTGTGTGTGTGTGTGTGTGTGTGTGTGTGTGTGTGTGTGTGTGTGTGTGTGGGTGTGTGTGTGTGTGTGGGTGTGTGGGTGTGTGTGTGTGTGTTTGTGCTCTGCTCAGCTGCGCTCTGTGTGTGTGTGTTCGGTGTGTTTGTGTGTGTCCGACACCGGCATGTGTCTTCAAATGACCATGAACAGTAATTTACACACATCTGGCTAACTCCATATGTGTATTCCCACACACACACACAAACACACACACACACACACACACACACACACACACACACACACACACACACACACACACACACACACACACACACACACACACACACACAATGACACAAACATACACACACACGCCCTGGTGACCGGACATCTTCTTCATAAAGCGAATAATATGGTGTAATAATCGGGCAGTATCTTGTGCGCACGAGAAAGTATATCGTGCGCACAAGATACTTTTTTTTTTCATGACCCTTAGGGGCTCCGTAATATCTTCCTGAGCTGAGAAATATTTGTTGATGCTAACTCCCATAGAAAACAAGAAGATTAATTGTTGATGCAAATTTTTTTTGTATAAATCATATACTTTTTTATGTTTCTTCAGGTAGTAAAGACGAGGTAGTGATCAAACTTCAGAAGGGCCGTGGGGCCGGGGACAAGTGGTGGTTTAATCAGCAGAGAGCGCAGGATGAAATGTTGCTGACTCTGCACAGTCCAGCGGACGCTATTATTGGCCAGTACCACCTGGCCGTGTTGATGATGTCACCTGACGGACACATTTTAGAGAAAACCGATAAACTTAGTTTCCACCTACTCTTCAACCCGTGGTGCAAAGGTAAAAGCAAACTCCTATGATAAGTGATTCCACCAATTGGCCAGATTAACAGATTCCCTTCACTTTTACAATAAGAATGAAGTTGATGTAGCATTGTAGTACAAATAGTACAGTACAGATAAAGATTTGTTTCTAATTGAGGCAATTCAACATTCAAAAAATGTAATTTAGGAGTTTATGTTTTTGCTAATGTCGCTACTGTATCCTTTTCCAATTGTCTGCCAGATGATGTAGTGTACCTCCCTGACGAGAGTCTCCTTCAGGAGTATGTTATGAATGAAGATGGGATCATTTTCATGGGCACCTGGGATAACATCAACAGTATTCCCTGGAATTATGGACAGGTAATTCACCCACACACTGACAGATTGTTTGAATGGGTTAACTGTGTGTGTATCTGTTAGGCCTGTATGTGGCTTGTGTCTGTGTAAATTGTCACAGCAGTGTGAGAGCGAAGACTTGGAGGCTTCTGCCTGTACAGGAAATGTGTTTGCTGGACGGAGGAAACTTCTGGACAGGAGACAGAATTTAACTAAACCACACAAACAAGAGCTTGTTCCTTCACAGCTCACTGTGAGGTCAGAGAGGATGAACACAGAGAGATTATAATTAGACAGACAGGAGGTGTGTAACATATATATATATATATATAGATATATATATATAGACCAACCAATGGGAAATACATTTTTTAAAACTGGTTGAGAAGCTTCTCCTGCACGACAACACATCTTTGTTTCTATCTTATGTTTTCTCTCCCTGTTTCCCTTTGAATCTCCCTCAGTTTGAGGACTATGTGATGGACATATGTTTTGAAGTCCTTGATAAATCCAAGGATGCCCTGAAAAACTCAGAAGTGGACATTAAGCAGAGAAATGACCCTGTCTACGTCAGCAGGATGGTCACAGCAATGGTGAATATCTCTCTTACTTGCTGTTGAAAACAAAACTAACGGTTAAATAACAGTACAAGACAAAATACATAATTTATTTGTGCAACTGATACACGTACACACTTTAGTGATCAAACCGGATGTCTTCACAACATGTTCTTTACACCTGTCCAGGTAAACTCTAACGGAGACAGGGGTGTGTTGACCGGTCGCTGGGACGAGTTGTACACTGACGGAGTCGCACCTTACAGATGGACCGGCAGTGTGCCGATCCTCCAACAGTGGAGGAATGCCGGGGCGAGAGCGGTCAAATATGGCCAGTGCTGGGTGTTTGCTGCTGTCGCCTGCACAGGTGAGGCTTCTGTAGAATTCACTATTGCATTGAATGATGCTGAAGTGTAATATTGCAGAAGATAAAGGGGGGAAAAACAACTGTTTTTGTTGAGAAAAATAAAATAATTCTGGGTTACGGGAATATGTGGATTAACTTTCTGACCGAGAGGTTGATACAGTAAGAAGACTCCATCCTGCCAGCAGCCGGCTGACTTAGCTTGGCATAAGTTGTCCCCAATAACTTAAATACTTATTATCAACAGAAAAGAAAGGGAGGGAGGAATGAGGGTTGGATCTAAAGATTACTCATTCTTTTTTAATTACTGTATGTGTCATACAATTATGAAAAAGGGCCATCCAAAGTCTAAGGTAACCTCTTTAATTATTTAGTCAATCCAAAACCCAAAGCTAATCTTTTAATATGATGTGAAATAATATTTTCTGAAATGTTTGCATTAAAAAGGATTAATCATTTGTTAAAAGGGTTTTCTGATGATCAACTAATCAATAAGTGAACTTATTGTTGCAGCTGGAACAAAGGGAATTATTTTTCCCGTCTGATTTGTGGTATCTTTTTCAGTGCTGCGCTCTCTGGGAATCCCAACACGCCTCATTACCAACTTTTCTTCAGCCCATGATGTCGATGGAAACCTCTCAATAGACTTTCTGCTGAATGAAAGACTGGAGAGCTTTGATGGGAGAAACAAGAGAGACAGTAGCTGGTAGGAGCCTGCACACAAACCACACACACACAGATTATGAATACAATTGATTTTGTACAATTGATATTACATAATCTAATGTAATGAATGATCTCTTCTTATCGTTGTGATGTTAAGGAATTTCCACTGTTGGGTCGAATCCTGGATGAGGAGAGAAGATCTCCCCAAAGGAAACGATGGCTGGCAGGTTTTGGACCCCACCCCTCAAGAATTGAGTGATGGTATATTCCTAATTTTTAACTAATTACTGTTATTCAACTCTTCAACACTTTCAACACTTTTTGAATTATCAGTCTAACAATGTTGTTTGTTGTTTTTCATTGCTACACCCTTCAGGTGAATTTTGCTGTGGTCCGTGTCCGGTGACAGCCATCAAGGAGGGAAATCTCGGAGTAAAGTATGACGCTCCTTTTGTATTTTCTGAGGTGAATGCTGACATCATCTACTGGATCGTCCAGGCAGATGGCCAGCGGCAGAAGGTGATTGACTTTTGTGCTGATTGTCTTTCATATTTGCTCAATTCAAAAGCCATTTGCAAAGAAGGATGTAAGGATAGTGACGCATGTTAATATTGCTACAGATCAGAGTCGATCAGGCAAGTGTGGGGAGGAACATCAGCACCAAAAGTGTTTACGGCGACTACAGAGATGATGTCACTCAACAATACAAATATTCAGAAGGTAAGTTAAGAATTAGTAAACAAAGGAGTAGATTGACTTGGATCAGAACTTTTACAAATTTCAGAAATGTGTAAAGGCTATATTGATAAACCCTTATTGAGCATAATCACATTTATTTAGATCTGTATACAGCATTTTTCCAATACTTCCTAGCCTCCAACTGTTAAATCTTCTGATTAAAAGACTATATTTTATGTGATTAAAAATAAATCATTCAACTGATTGAGCATGTAACTAATAATCCTTCAAAGAAACATAATGTATAGGAGTTTTGAGCCCCCACTGTTTCAGTGTGATATTTACTTGTACACATCTGTCTTAAATATCGACTTTGCTAACATGGCCAGAGATCAAACAAGTCAAACAACCCTAGAAATAGCAGCTCAAAATTGTTACTAAGTAGAGGCTGCTTAACCCTATATTCCGTTTGCAGTGTGAAAGCACGACTAACTTACCAACAGCTAACTAGCTAACAGCAGCTACTATTAGCAGCATTTAGCTGGTTACATTTACTTTTGCAACAACTAAAGCTTTCTGTTTGAGGAAACTCTGTAAATCACAGTGGACATTAAAGGGAAAGACAGAAAAAATTATCATCCATAAAAAATGATCAGGGAGCAGAATGCAGCTGACAAAGACACCACTCTCTCTATTACAAGTCAATGTACAATCAAAACGATGTTGAAGTTGTTCAAAATCACTTAACTTGTTTAATATCTGCTTATAGTCATCTGACAGAATCATGGTTCATTGTTATGGACCAACCTCTTCTCTACAGGCTCCAATGAAGAGAGAGATGTGTACAAGAAGGCGGGACGCCGGGTCACCAATGAGATCACAGAACCAGGACAACTGAAGCTGTCAATCAAGCCTTCTAGGCCTGTACTTGGGACAGACTTTGATGTGATTGTTGAGGTAAAGGGTGTTCAGACTGTAGCTGAAATGATGCATGGATGGATTCATTGATAAAATCAGTAAATAATGTCATACCCAGGGGAAATGGGGCTGCCATTGTCGGAATGTATCGCATATTTGTTCTTGTAGTCTGATGGACATTTTGTAAGACAACATCCAATCATAAATCCATCATGTCCGCAGGTGAAGAATGAAGGAGCCAGAGAAGCTCATGCTCAGCTTGCCATGGTGGTCATGGCTGTAACTTACAGTTCTCTAAACCGGGGCGAGTGCAAAAGACAAACAATCAGTGTGACAGTGCCAGCTCACAAAGGTTTGTGGCTCAAATAAACCCACAAAGGTCACTGGTGAAAATATGCTGTGAAACAACAATGATGCTGTGTCTAACCAGCACGCTTTTTCCACTTCTTATGTTGGCATGTACAATCCTCCTGTCTAAAGTTATACTCTATTTGTGCATGTGTGTTCAGCCCACAAGGAAGTGCTGCGTCTGCACTATGATGACTATGTCGGGTGTGTTCGTGAGCATCATCTGATCAGGGTGAAAGCCTTGTTAGAGGCTCCAGGGGAGAACGAACCCATCATGGCCATGGCCAACATCCCGATGAGCATGCCTGAACTACTTGTACAGGTGGGTTCACTCTGAGCATGCCCAGAAGTCCTTGTTTGACCATGAAATCATTTATAAGTTTTATAATGCTAGTCTTATGTGTGGATAAATTAAAGGTAGAGAAGGACTGATTAGAATGATACTGTACTATGAGCTTTCAAATGTTTGCAGAGATTATGTTAATGATGAAATAAGATACATCAAGAGTCTAATGTTTCTTGTAAAAATCCTACACTTGGAGTATGTGAGAAAATCACAGATTCAACAGACACACAACATTTTAAAGATGTTCTTCAATTATCATGTCTGGTTGAAGTTTACTTGTGAAACGAAACCTGGATGTATTTTCATTTCATTTTTAAGTTACCTGAAAAAGATAGCTGGCTCTTGCCATAATATTTTCAGACTTTACAATGATTTGTGTCATTATATTTGACATTAGTGTATCAAACTACATATATTCTAAAATGACATTACATTACATGACATTGCATTTAGCTGACGCTTTTATCCAAAGCGACTTACATTCGACCAAGAAGATACAAACTTGAGGAAAACAGAATCATATAAGTAAATCAGGTTCCATAGAGCCAAACATTTCAAGTGCTACTCAACTGGCTTTAGGTAAGCCAGTCCTTTATTAGTAAGTGCTTTGTTAATAATTCTATCGCTCGAAGTGGAGTCGAAAGAGAGGAGTTTTCAGTCTGCGCCGGAAGGTGTGTAAGCTATCTGCTGTCCTGATGTCAATGGGGAGCTCATTCCACCATTTTGGAGCCAGGATAGCAAATCCACGTGTTTTTGCTGATGGGAACTTGGGTCCCCCTCGCAGCGAGGGTGCAGCGAGTCGTTTGGTTGATGCAGAGCGGAGTGCACGTGCTGGGGTGTACAGTTTAACCATGTCCTGGATGTAGGAAGGGCCAGATCCATTCGCAGCACGGTAAGCAAGTACCATTGTCTTGAAGTGGATTCTGGCAGTTACTGGAAGCCAGTGGAGGGGGTAGGGTTGCCGTATTAGCCGGGACGTCCCGTATTTGAGCCAAAAGGGGCGTGTCCCGTACGGGACTTTGTTTGTCCCGGATTCCGTGTAAAGGGATAAATACAAAATATGTTTCTGTTTGCGCGCAATGCAGTGTGTCTGGCTCATAGGTCTGGCTGCGTGCCTGTGTGTTTGTGTGCTGTATCCGAAGGGCACTAGGACCGCTCAGTTGACAGGGCAGGCACAATGCTCGCACGTGAGTGTGTGAGATTTTCTCCGGTGGGCCGCGGGCGCGGCATCATTGTTTGTGTGGTCGTGTGGGGAAATGAGCGCTGCCGGTGGAGGAGGTGATGATGAAAGAGGAGAAGAGAGAGAGGATGTGGTTCTGGGCCCTAGAAAATACTTGTGTCTTACAACAAACAGTGGAAGAAAAACACAGTTGGGTAAAGCCCGTGAGTGGAGATCTGTCTCAGGTCTTCTGCGTGTGTGTGTGTGTGTGTGTGTGTGTGTGTGTGTGTGTGTGTGTGTGTGTGTGTGTGTGTGTGTGTGTGTGTGTGTGTGTGTGTGTGTGTGTGTGTGTGTGTGTGTGTGTGTGTGTGTGTGTGTGTGTGTGTGTGTGTGTGTGTGTGTGTGTGTGTGTGTGTGTGTGTGTGTGTGAGAGAGAGAGTCAGTCAGCTGATTGATGGGAAAATGCTGGGAAAATGGTTGGTTGAAGGATAACATTAAGTCTAATAATGATGTACGTGCATGTTCACATCATGTATACTTTGCATTACTTAATACCATTTTTCAAATATTTATTTTTTAACATTTTGGACAAAATAGCCAATTGTACATCGAGGTGCCCAGATGTCCCTAGTACCCACCTATCCGATTTGAACATGCTGATGTACAATGTGATGTAGTAGCCTAATGCAGCTGTAAGACCATTGTGTTTGTATTGTGTTATAGGTATGCATAGTTTTCTATGCATTTTGAGGGTTTTGGGGGGGTTTGACCCCTCGAACCCTAGGGGGCTGCATGGCTCCCCCAAAAGAATTAAATAACATAACCCTAAAACCGAAATAAAGTAACAAAAAAAAGTAACTAAATCCGCCAGAAACCCGAAAATCTTTGCGCGCTCGCGCGCCGGGGACACATCCCTGTGTCCCGTTTTTCCATTTCTGGAAGTTGGCAACCCTAGTGGAGGGAGCGGAGGAGCGGGGTGGTGTGGGAGAATTTAGGAAGGTTGAAGACCAGACGAGCCGCTGCATTCTGGATGACTTGCAGAGGTCGGATGGCACATGCAGGTAGACCAGCCAGGAGGGAGTTGCAGTAGTCTAGGCGTGAGATGACGAGAGCCTGGGCCATAAAATAAATGATGTTGAATGTTTTGTATTTCCAGATTGTAATGTCCTACAGTGTAATTGCTGCCCTTAACATAGAGCTGCCACCATTTTTCAGGTGCCTGGGAAGGCTGTTGTATGGAATCAAGCGACCGCTTTTATCTCCTTCACCAATCCTCTACCAGTTCCTCTGAAGAGTGGCGTGTTCACTGTGGAGGGAGCCGGCCTACTGTCGGCCACTGAGATCTCTGTTAAGTAAGTGCTGAGTCACACCCTCTTCACTAAGGCAAATATACACATTCCTTACAACTTTTATCCTTGTGTGTGATATATGCAATTCAAGGTTCAAGGCTTTTATTGGTCATACATACACAGTGTAGCTAAGATTTTCATCGCCATAACAACACTGTCGCTATGTGCGTATATCGTATGACCAATAAAAACCTTGAACCTTGAATTGTATATATCACACACTAGAATAAAAGATGGTTGTTGGCTCCAACAATGGATCCTCGACCTTCACCTACAAAATGTAACTTAAAGATACACAGACCAAACAATCGAGTCAAACAACTACTGTCTTGATTGTCATTCAAGCTCCCCTGAGAATGAGTCATTTATCATGTAGCAATAACAACAGTGTGGTTCATAACAGGACCTCAATAAAATAGAACTCAAGCATCTGTCTTTTATTTTTCAGAGGGGATATTAATCCTGGCCAGAAAGTGTCTGTCAAGCTCTTGTTCTCTCCCGTGCGGACAGGGGTCAGAAAGCTACTGGTGGACTTTGACTCAGACAGGCTGAAGGACGTGAAGGGAGTCGCCACGGTGGTTGTGTATAAAAGACACATTAGATCTTTGAATTAGCCCAGCTTTTCTAACATACTGTAACTGATTTGGCAAAAACTACTTAGCAGATACTTTTGGTTTACATGGTCGGTGGACTATTTTTGAGGCAATTTCTGCACGTTTTTAAAACGTATAAACTGAATGAGGTAATATTATGAGGTTAATCGACCTTTCATGGATGAAAGAGGAGGAACTGCCCAGTTTAAATGTAAAAGTATGCCAAGTATTAGAACACTGCATTGTATGCCGATAAATTCAATGATGGTTGTCTCTTGAAGGACAACTGTGACCTTATTCACAAATAAATACCGGACACAGAGTTAGTTTACCTTACCTTAGAGCCACTATGTGATAGACTTAGATATTTCTGACTTTGCATTATGCCTGGCATTAGATGCCTGCATAGAAATGCACAGAAGGACAACAGGTAACCACCTTTAGATGATAGACCTTCCATTTTGTTGCTTTTTGGCTATGTTCCTCCTCTGTAACATTTCTGGTATTCCTTACTTGACTACATGGCCATGTTTCTTACTGTCTTCGTTCCCTTTACCTGGTTCAAAGAGCTGTGTTTTAGACCCTGATTGTGAAATTAAAAGAAGCATTACCATCAGTGCACACATCAGAGCTGAAGGGTTAACACATTGTGCTTTGTTAGATATACTTTTGGAAAATGATCTGCTTAATTATCTTTTTTGCAATGTTTCCAATCCCATTTTAGTCAAAACATAATTGGAAGAAACTATCATTTTTTCATTGAATTAAATCCTTTATTTTTGTTCTTTTTTTATATAATTCTGTGCATTCACACATTATGATATACAGTGCGTGCACAATATGCTTTCAATAAAGATGTTTTTCTTTCCTGTAATTTGAATTGACATGTTGCTCAAATGAATGTCTGAACTAGACGATGGGTTGGCTGTGTGCAAAATGTATTAAAACTACAGAGGAAATTATTTTACATAGGAGGGACTCATATAGTAAATTGAAACAAGGTTGAGACAAGATTTCTAAAGTAAACGGGTCGTTAGTGGATATGTTTTGGTTTCCTCTGCAGAGAGTGAATGCAATGGGGAGAGAAGTTGTTAAATTGTCAGCATTGCTGGAGCACAAGTAGGAATGATCTTCACCATCATAGTGATATCTCTGATTGATGTTTACTCCTGAGTCTTTCACGACTGGACTCCAGAGTCCAGTCCATCACATGGTCCTCAAAATGAAAGATAAAACATTAAGGAGGAAAGAAAATACATTTTGTTTTAAGATGAGATTAAATAAACCTTTACTGATCCCCCTAGTGAAATGCATGTGTTCAAGCAGCAACATGAATAAGATTGAAAAACAGGAAAACCAGGTAATAGTTCAGACAAGGGTAAATAAAAAAATAATGTAAAAAATCGTAGGCAAATAGAATAGAATATCAACTCTATCTGACATATGTTTGTTGTCCTCTCTTCCCCTCTCTGAGCTGTGAAGAAACAAGCTCTTGTTTGTGTGGTTGGTTACATTCTGACACTTCCCGTCCAGAAGTTTCCTCGGTCCAGCAAATAGTTTTACTGATCAAGCAGAGGCCTCTGAGTCTCATCTGTCATATCGCTGTGACAATTCACACAGGCCACCAACAGCCCTGACACACGGACCCAGAACCACACACAGTGTGTGTGTGTGTGTGTGTGTGTGTGTGTGTGTGTGTGTGTGTGTGTGTGTGTGTGTGTGTGTGTGTGTGTGTGTGTGTGTGTGTGTGTGTGTGTGTGTGTGTAAACCTTCTATTCTATATTTCCCTATTATGTATATTATATATTTAAAGTATTTATTTCCTATCTAATTTTTCATAAATGTGGCATTCCACAACAGCCATATCAATTATATGCATGTTGTGTTACTACAATACATCTTAGAGGCCACTATTCTACATGTTACTGCACTTATATGATTGCAGGACTTTTACTTGTAATGTAGTATTTGTGTCTGGTATTAGTACTTTCACTCAGGAAGAGGATCTGAGTTCTGCTTTCAAGAGTGAATGTTAATACTATTAAATGTTTTCATCATCACCATTATTATTATTATTATTAATGTGCTATTTTACACAAACTGTCATTAAAACACTTACTTGTACATCTGCTGTCCACCAATGTCTTTGTTCAGAGAAAAAATAAAGGAAATACTTTTTGAAAGATTTAATTAAAAAAACACCACAAAAGTACAATAAATAAAACACATGTAGAACATTGAGAGATGATTAGATAACTATCCCCCGAGCCTACAGGTGGAAGCTGGGGTGGAGCTGGGGTGGTGGTGGAGCAGGCAAGCAGCAGCAACATGAAACACAGCAGCAGGAACATGAACATAGCAATAGCAAGTGAACACAGCAGTGCAGCAGCAGCATAGCGAGGCAGAGGCAGGAAGACCTGGCAGCTTGAATAGAGCGGCATGTTTAGAAGAATGTGTTTGGTTGGTTGTAAGAGGGTCGAGGTGCGTCACGTGTTAATGTATGATTGGTGCTCGAGTTGACTGCCTGAACTAGCTCCCAGGCTTCGCCCCATTTCAGTCAGACAACTCACGTGTTTCTTAATATGTTTATTATAAGCAGCATATAGTTTGAGTTTGGCATCTAGGCTTGGGCCTCATCACTCCACAGACAGGGTTCTTACACCTTTTCCAAAGTCAAATTCAAGCACTTTTCAAGCATTATCAAGGTGCATTTTCAAGCTTTTCAAGCATCTTATAGCTGTTGTAAATTACATATTTATATACACATACTTATACTCAAATGATTATTTCCCTACCTCACATTAAATCAGATGTTCTTTATGCTATAAACAACCAAATGTGTGTTTCGTAATTGCATTCTACATGAGGATGAAAAATTAAAGAACATTTCAAAATGAGTGACCCATCTGTAAGTAGACAAGTAGATCTGTAAGGCATCCCATATAACCTGGCTGAGCCAATATAAAACAATCAGCCAAATAACTTTTCAATACATTATTGATTACTATTTTTGAGGTACTTTTAGGTTGGCAGTAAACATAATTCAGAGGTAAATGGTGTACTTTTCCTCCACTACATGTATTTAATACCTTTAGTTACTTCACAGATGTGGATGAATGATGTGAAATATAACCAAGTGTTAAATCAGACTTTAGTTCCACCTGGAGTAAATCCACAAGCTACCCTGCAGTATACAAAGTCATTCAAACTAGCTGCACCTTCACCAGCTTTGAGAACACTTTCATGATCAATCTTTATAAAACATATCATATATATTATTCTGAAATGGACCAATCTGCACAACGACTACTTTTACTGTCGCTACTTTCACTATATTTTGATGAGAATACTTTTCTACTTTTACTTGAGGAACATTTTGATTGAGGGACTTATTCTTGTAACAGAGTATTCCTACACTCTGGTACTTCTACTTTTACTCAAGTACAATATCTGAGTACTTATTCCACCTCTGGTAGCGTATTAGCCTGAACAGTAGCCACAAAATCACACAGAGCTGCATAAAAATAGAAAATGGTAACAAGTGGAAAATAATATTTACAAATGTGTCCAATGATTTGTAGGTAATTTTGACTACTCAAGAGACCTGACTTATACATCTTCAAAGGAAGACTGTGTTTATTCTACAATTACATGGAATTAAAGCAAAATGTAGTTTCACTTGTATAATACTTCAAGACTTTATATAAAATCCTGTTTCTAAAAGTATTAACCATAGCGACGCGGTCAAATCCTCAGTTTATAGTTTATAACAACATACTAACAAGTTAAGGTCTAATTATGCAACCAAGTCTCACGGCATTTCGTGTTATAGTCACGAAATAAATGTAATCTATTGATTCTATTCGTGTTTAACATTGCTCAACTTTTGAAGCAAGCAACGCAAGCAAAGCGACGCGAACAAAGCGACGCGAACAAAGCGACGCGAACAAAGCGAAGCGACGCTCCCACAATGCAGTTCGGCAAAGTGTGACGTCACCCCATTCAAAGTGAATGGGCAGAAGCGTTGAAGCTTCAGCGCATGCCGCCGTGTGGACGGGCCGTAAAAAGGTCAAACTTCACTTGTTTTGCATCAATCTTGATGTAGGGTACTTATTATATGTTATAGTTTGGATTCCTAAAGCTTTTTGTCTACTATCCCATCATTCAAGGGTGGTTTTCACTATAAGTAATGGGTTTCTTTTGGACGGAAGCTATAATTTAAATTGTTTTACTATGTTCAATCTGAATTTACTTTAAAGTAAAAACATCTATATTGATTCTGAATTTTCTACATCCAACTCACAGGGGTATCATTGCTTCGAAAAAAAAGATTATTAATGTACCCCTTTTAGAAGTGAAGATATAGTCAAAATGTCATTTTCAAGCCTGAGACCTGAAAAACAGGCTTGGGGCTTAACAGGTTAGCGAACCATCACTGAATATCTATCAACACATGACTGTTAGTGGTAAAAAAAAAAAAATACACGGCTCTGCTGTTTTGCTTGGAGTGCACAATCCTGTGTGTTTAAGGCAGTTCTTATGTTTGCTCGAAGATTCAGATCATATGTGATCAACTCAATGCAGCAGACTGCTTTGCCTTATTTTGAATATGCAAAAGCAGCCATACCATTATGGAGTCACTTCTTTCTGTTGTGTTATTTTTATCTCCTCCCAGTATTCAAACAGGTTAATGAGTCACTCAGGTAAGGCCGCCCTTTGGTGTCATACGGGAGGTGCCAGGGGAAGATAAAGACGGAGAGAGAGGGAGACACATAGAGAGAGGATGACGAAATAATGAGGGTGTGTATGCGTGTGTGTGAGTGTGTGTGTGTGTGTGTGTGTGTGTGTGTGTGTGTGTGTGTGTGTGTGTGTGTGTGTGTGTGTGTGTGTGTGTGTGTGTGTGTGTGTGTGTGTGTGTGTGTGTGTGTGTGTGTGTGTGTGTGTGTGTGTGTGAGAGAGAGAGAGAGAGAGAGAGAGAGAGAGAGAGAGAGAGAGAGAGAGAGAGAGAGAGAGAGAGATACTGACTCACACCAGCACCATTAGACACCTGTTAGTGCAGGTGGAGGGAGTGACTGCTGGATATCTGACCCTGGATATTTCACTGGAGGGCTTCTCTTTAACACTTCCGATAGTTTTCTCTTACCTTTTTACATATCAAGTCGTTTTAAATCTGTGTTTTTTTAATACTTTGTTTTTGGACATAGCTAACCTTTAATCTTAAGATTTAGTCTTGCATTTTCCACCAGTGGATTTAGTCAAGGACATATTTCATCAGAGATCTTCAATTTGAGCCTTAGTTCTTAGGGAGTTTGTTGTTGGCGTGGCTGTTTCCAAGAAGCCGATCGTCTAATAAGCTGCGTGATCATGGCAGACTTCCCTTCCAAAGTTACTACGGAAACCAGCTCCACCCCAACCCAGAGCTCTCAGCAGGGGGGCAACAGCCTCCGAGGGTTGACTGCCAGCGTCACCAATATCATGGACATGTCCTTTATCCGGAGCATCCCAGCAATCCTCATGATGGTGGAAATAGTATGTAACAGATACCAAGCTCTTCTGTCTTTACTCTATTCAACTCTATTCAGAGATCAACTCTATTGTTTATGTTCTATTTTGTCCAAAGTCCAGTTTGTCTATACTATTCTGTTTCATCATGGCTTACCTTGACTGGTGATATTTTGTATTTTTCTAATTGTCAACATACAATGAAAGGACCAAAGCCAACAATATGTAACCATATTATTCAGAATTCAGAATTCCTTACCCAGATTATGGCAGTCATTTATATATACATACATTTGTTTGTGATTATCTACATCTGCGGATTAACATTTGCTGTAGGGAGAATTTACACCAGCAGGATGGTTGTCACCTTAAAATAAACCACATTACAAATGTTCATCATAATGTGTAAACATTACAACTACAGTGTTTTTAATAGTTTTAAGATATATTTGAGGCTACAAGAAGATATATCAGACTCTGGGTATATAGACAATAGTGTATGGCATCAAATCATTGTTGGTTTTGGTCTTTTGTGGTCTTTGTTGACAATAAAAGGAAGATATCAAAATCCCCAGACTTTAACATCTTTAACTGGTCTAGTATTTTGATCACATGAAGTTAGTTGGAAGTATCAGTGATGTATTTGCACTAAACTGTGTCCACACAGAGGACATGTGACTGGCTGTGAGATCTGTGTCACACCCCTCTGACCATCCCCTATTACCTTGAACCTACTGTGTAGCTTCAGCGGTACAATGTCCACATTGTATATAATGTGGCTGTTAAACATCGGTCACTTCTCCATGCTTTATGAGGAGCAAGCTTTATTGTCTTTTGATGGTTTTGTAGCAAGGCTAGTTAGCTAGTAGTCAGAAGTCATGTGCACAGTGTATTCAAAAGACTCTCTGGCAAAGTTTATGAGGTGTGTCAGCTAGGAGTTTCTGCATTTCATGTGCCAAAAAACTAGTACAGGTGACATCTTAACAGACCAACAACAACCTTGGTCTTTATATGTTTCTGGTAGTGTGAAAGTTTAAACAAGATTTCCAAGCACATTGTTACAATATCAATCTTAAAGCAATTTGACAGCAAATGTCTAAATTAACAGGATCATTGTGTAAATTATACAGCTTCAATAAAGGTCTAGACTAAAGTTCATATAGTACTCGTGAATTTAGTATCTCATTTGTAAGAGTGCAACTTTCTTTCTAGTTTAAGTCTTAGTTTTTGTCTAAGTGACTGACAGTCAATAAGGAATCTTACATTCTCCATCATATCAATTAATTTATGAAAGTCTATGAGAGAATGAGCCATAAGTTTCAATTGATTTATTACCATAGTAAATATTTTCCTAAGCAGTTTATGACCTCAAATGCTAGTTTTAAGCCTACGTAAGTTCACCATGATGTTCATTTTGTAAATTGTGATCACATATAGACAAATACAGACGATAAAGCTTGATATGCTTTCGGTGGAAGTCCTCTTTCTAGGACTTATGTGTTCAGTTCATGAAAGTTAATTTAACACTTTGGTGGCATAAAAATAGCTTGTTCAGCATTAATTATAGGTTACTTATGTCATTTACGGTTTCTTATAGATCTTATTTTACAAATCACAAGAGTGTTACCATTTTCTGCCGGCTGGTAACATCAAAACCAGTCATTAACTCCATGTTATTTCAGAAATTTGCATCAGTAATCTCTGGATTTTAAGTAGCCTGTGTGTTTGTGTGTTTTGTGTGCATGTCTTTTCCTTTGCCTTTGTTTAGTACACAGGTAAAATATTGATATGGAAAACTGTTGATATAATCGCTAAATGCCACCTTACTAAATGCCATCTTATCAAGTTTAACTGAGCCCCTTTTTTAGTAGTGTGACTGTGTGTGTGTGTGTGTGTGTGTGTGTGTGTGTGTGTGTGTGTGTGTGTGTGTGTATGTGTGTGTGTGTGTGTGTGTGTGTGTGTGTGTGTGTGTGTGTGTGTGTGTGTGTGTGTGTGTGTGTGTGTGTGTGTGTGTGTGTGTGTGTGTGTGTGTGTGTGTGTGTGTTTTTAGTGTGTGTAATAACAGAGAAAAGGAGCAAAAATGGGAAATGGCCTACCAGAACAGTTATTCGAAAGGATTTGGAAACCAAAATGATTCGGCCTACATCCCTCTTGTAAAAATGCATTGGCCCAATTTTAAATTACGTCAACATAACAAAGATAATAATTTAACAGTGGAGCAAGAGGCCAGATATTACGCTAATGTACATTCTTCATTCATGCATATGCACTAAGGGTTATATTTATACTATAGCTGGTTTCCTGTTTCAAACTCCCAGCTCCTTATGCAATATTAATAAATAATATTAATAATAAAACACATCTGCATAATTGAACCTGTTGTAGAGCTTATAGATGACATGAAGAGTAATAATATATAGTTCTTATAGTGTGTGTGTGTGTGTGTGTGTGTGTGTGTGTGTGTGTGTGTGTGTCAGGTGTGCAAAAAGTGAAAGATGATACCAGCATACATAATATACTGTCCTTTTAATGTCCTTTGTTGTGGGACAGAAGCAGCAGAGAGACACGGAGCGGTGTGTGGTTTCTGTCTGGATGTCTCTTTTATGGTGAATGTTACGCTTAAACTGAATTTCAGACAGGAATGTACTGTAAATACATTAGACCAACACTGGCATCACATGTCACTCTCTATATTTTACATGTGGTTTTGTTAAAGATGTTAAGTCCACCGCTTAGGTTCAGTTTGAAATATCTAAATAAATATAGGATAGATTTACAAGTAATGCTTTAAAGATATTCATGTTCTCCACAGGATGAACCCGACTGACTTTGGCATCCTCTGACTTTTTCTTGTGTTGAGACTTTACTTTTTATAAGGTCGCAATTCAATGATATCCTATACTTTGGTTTATGACTAAATAACTTCAGAACTAAGGACTATTCCATCATCCACAGCGGTACTTCATCATGTTGATGTTAACATCTTTACTTTAAGATAGTGAACATTGTGAACACTATACATGTTGAACATCGGCTTGTCAGTGCTGTCATTGTGACCAACAGCAATAGACTTTATTTAAAGTGCCATGTCATGGCCATTCCTACTGATCATAATTCCATTGTTGAGGTCTACTAGAATAGATTTATATTTCCAAACTCACATTGGTTTCTCATACAGCATCTCTGTATAGCATGTGTATTCACTCTCTGTCCTAAACGGCTTGTTGGAGCTCCTGCCCCCCCCCCCTCCCTGCGAGCCCACTGTGCTCTGATTGGTCAGCTCGCCCACTCTGTTCTGAAGAGTCCACCACCGTTACAGTGGAACATCAGTGATTATGTGTTACAATGGTGTTAGCAACCAGAAAATGACACCAGTAATGACAAACAGATGAGAATTCTGTGTGGGGTCTGGGTGCCGTGTTGGCGGGACGTTGCGAGGCTCGCTGCTGCGAGGAGCGGACAGTGTGAGCTGGGTTCATTTCCTGCTTGCTGCGTGGGGTCTGCGAGACAGCGAGACAGCGAGACATCGCGAATGGACGCGGGAAGGGGGGGGTGCTGAGGGGGGTGCAGCACCCCCATCTGCGAGGCTCCACTAGCACCCACCTACAGTGTAAGCGCGCCACAGTTTCGCCGCTGCGAGGCTCCACTAGCACCCCTTACCTGAGTGTGTGTGTGTGTGTGTGTGCGTGCGTGCGTGCGTGCGTGTGTGTGTGTGTGTGTGTGTGTGTGTGTGTGTGTGTGTGTGTGTGTGTGTGTGTGTGTGTGTGTGTGTGTGTGTGTGTGTGTGTGTGTGTGTGTGTGTGAGAGGAGCTCCACGGATTGGTCCATCATTTGGACCAATGGGTCCATTTGGGTATGGTCACATCACTGTACCCAGGAAGAAAAGAGAAATCTCCAACGAGGCGTTCTGGGGCAGCATAGGCAGGTCTTTTCTGTGTTAGAGTTTTACTCGCTACAGGGTGTACTTTGAGGGTTTGTGATTTTGCAGACCGTTTACATGCATAAAAACCTTTATAACACACAAGGGGACGGGTAATAACCGGAAAAGCATGACATGGGACCTTTAACTATATGATAATGCTGATTTTTCAACATGTATGTCAGTTATTAGTGCGAATGCTGTGCCACAGCATTCCATTATAGTTCTTCGATTCTTTAATCATCTTCTTATTTCACCAAATAGTTTGGCTCTTAATAACTTCAGCATACTTTCAGCTACAGAAACCATTCAAATATCAAACTATTCAGCCTTTTCAGCACATGATGGGAAACTTTCAATTTTTTCAAAATATTTTATACTTTTTGAAATATTCAGCTTTTTAAACTCTTTTTTTAACATGGAACTCAATGGGAGGAGCCTTCAAATCCTCTTTTCCTACACCTTACGCCAAATGCTACTCCTTCCACATACTTTCAGCTAGAGACTTCATTCCAACTTTAAAATGATCACCAAGACATTCAGCCATAAAACTTGTTATTCAGAGTTTTCATATCTTTTACACTTTTTAAGATATTTCACTTAGTTTGGAGCTTGGTAAAGAGGCCTTCTTCAGATTTTAACATTAATGTTTATTGGGCAGCTCGTAGAGTGCTTGAAATTCGCCCAAAAAAACGTTTTAAACCTGCCATAATTCCCAAACCCTACACTCCTTGGACATCATTTTTCATGAAAAACGTAGGAAAACCTCTTCTACGTTGAAGAGACAAAAACTTGTAAAAAAGTCCACCTAGCTCCCAATACACTTTAAACAAACTGCTCCCATCTCCACATTTTACACACAAAACCCAAAATAAAAACATATAACAGTTCATTGGGGTTCCTTGATGCTCACGGTCTGTACATTTTTTGATAGGAGCCATAGTTTTTGAACAGGTGGCAAAATTGTCAGATATAATCCTCAATGCTCTTAATGGGACTCAGTTCTGCAGTTGGTTACCATGGTGTTGCTGGGCAGATTGGGACCACACACCTGAGTGACATCATCTAATCAGAGCAAACACGCTCACAGACAGACTGGTACACACCAGGGCTGCCATGCACTAGGGATGTTAAGATTCACCGATTTGCATCGGTGCACTGGCATAAACGTTCAAGATGTGAGTGCACCAGTTGAAAGAGTGCACATCGGCTACAGTTTGGGTTGAACTCGCGATGCATCGATAGAGAGGCGAAGTCCCTCCCCTTCCAGTGGACTTCCATGGGACCTTATTTCGGAAAAATTATGTATTGAAGTCAATGGCGAGAGAAAGATTATCTTTCGATCCCGTTTGAATCGTGCCACGAATTACACATATGATGTTTGTCAATTTAAAAGATACTTTTGCATGTCAAATTTTTTTAAATGTGTCGTAAAACTGTGAAGTAACACATTTTGTTGTGTGAAACGCTCAATGAACTACAACTCTGGTCTCGCAGAACAACACACGTGACCAAGATGGCCGTCACTACTGTCTTGCCAAAAAAGGGATTGACTACCCTCACTATCACCACAATGAAACACGTCCAGAAGAATGTCATGCCAAGCTGCCTGCCTGCCTTCCTTTGATTCTCTCTGAACTACCTGGTCTTTTTAATGTTTAATGTCAACCATTTGTGCAGATAGCATAAAGTAGAACAGATCGCCGATGCTAATGTAGCGTTAGCATTAGCATTTCTCCACCGGGGGCATCCGGGCTTAAACGGTGTATTATAGAATGATCACACCGGTGTGACAGTACTCTTCAAAGGGTTCACGAAATATGACTACTACTCTAGGGTGACCAGACGTCCCCGTTTTCCGGGGACAGTCCCCGTTTGTATTGGCCTGTCCCCGGTTGAAACTGTCCCCGTTTTTTAATATACGTTAAAAACACATAGGAAGGTGAAATAAAACGTTTCATGTCAGGAAACACTGGGTAAACAGACTGCGGTCATGCCAGCCCCCACTTCGGAAAACACAGTCAAGCCAGCCCGCACGTTGTATTGCGGTGCGCGAATATCCTATGCATTACGGTAGAGGCCTGTAAAAACTGCCTTCAAAATAAAAGCGTTTACTCGGTCAATAACAAATATACCTAAAAAACACACCAAACATATTCATGTTGGAGCTTAAATTAAGAAATATGTACTATAAAATGTGATCAATAATAATTTAAAACAAACTACGTATAACTACCACATTATAACTGAGTGAATGTAAAATGTAAGGATACAGTTATGAAGACATATCGGACATTTCCACTGGGTGACTAATTTCAATTGATGTTGACACCATCTCACAACACTCCTAAAATAACATTACTTTCTGAAGCACAATTTAAAATGTATGCTGTTTTGTTAAAATCTCAAATTAGATCTATTGTCCATCTATATTTTGATTATTATTTAATGGAACTGTCCATAATCAAAGAGTCATTCAAAGTCAATCAAATACTTATTTCACTTCAGGGTGATAGCAGGAGACCCCATCTAGTCAATCAGAGAAAATCAGGAAAATCTGATGTAGAGTTTCAAAATAAAATACTTTTGAAATCTCATATATGGGCTATCGTCCTTCTGTTTTTATACAAGAATAAATAAAAAACTGTCAAATTATCAAAAACGTATTTCATTCCAGGGTGATAGCAGGACACCCCATCTAATCACTCCGAGAGAATCTGGACAATCTGATGTACAGTTTCAAAATAGAAGACCTTGGAAGTCTCATATGAGCTATCGTCCTTCTGTTTGTATCCAACAGTTAAAATGTTCAAATTAAATTGAACCAGAATTGTCCCCCTTTTTTCTTTAACAGTGAAGAAAATTGGATATGTTAATGATATTTTGACCGCAAAATTCAAAATGTCCCCGGTTTTAATTTTGAAATTCTGGTCACCTTATACTACTCTTACTGTTTAACATTTTGGGTTACTTAATGTACTTCATGTTAAGGCTAATAAAAATTACAAGGCTAAGGCTGTAATGCTAACTAACGTGCTAGCTACTAGCTAGGTAGCTAACTTGATCCAGCCAGCCACTCCTGGTCCTTTCATCAGACGGAAAGCGAAAGAACGAGCAAGACCCATTGCTGGTATGATAACAATCTGGTACTAAGCACACAGGCATCTTGTTAAAGTTATCTTATCTTAGCTATCTCTTATTTAGTGGAGGAAAACAATTGTGACATCAGTTATGACATCACTTACTCTGGGATTTGTAGTCTTTCTAGTTGCGTATTTTCCATAGTCTTATATTTCAAAAGTTTTACGACAAACTGTGACTTTTTTGACATGGAAATTATTTTTTAAGATTGACAAACATCATATGTGTAATTCATGGCACAATTCAAACGGGATCGAAAGATACGTTTTCTCTCCCCATTGACTTCAATACATAATTTTCCCGAAATAAAGTCCCATGGGTCGGAAGTAGATGGGCGGGACTTCGCCTCTCTATTGTAGCGTTTTTGCATCGGTAAAAAAACGATTCATTCATATAATATCCCCTCATCCTGTCAGCACTCATCAGAGAAGATCTTTGATCTTTGCTTCGCACTATGGAGGCCGAGAGTCTCAGTTATCAACACACATGGAGGTCGAGGAGTAAGAGAAACACAGGGCACCGAAAAATACCTACAAATCAAACGTTTGGCAACACACAAAGAAAGACGGTCAACTTGAAAAATCGCTCACAAATTGTAAACGATGCCGTGCCGCTTTAAAGAACACAAGTAGTACGAGGAACTTAGCGACGCACATAAAGAGGCGACATGGGGTCTGCGGCTGAAAAGAGAAACCTGAAAGTTAGACATGTGTGAGTGAAATCACTCAGTGAGGTGTTCTGTCAGAGAGAGTGGTGTTTTACAGCAGACTGTGACTGCCAATAATAGTTTAAATGTTACTGTAAGCAGTTGTGAAATACCTGTTTGTGAAAGGTTATTTTCTTTATTGTTCCCATAGAACCCACTGCTTTCTGCTCACTGGTGAGTTAGACTATGAATGAGTGTTAAGCACATCAGGCTGGCAGCTGTATGGGCATTGCACTTTGGTAGTTGTTATTTGTACATTGTTAATCATGGGCAATGCATCCTTAAATTGTTTAACTGTGAGGTGTTATACAATTGTACTCTGGAGAGCTTTTTAAGGCAAAAAGGGTACAAAATAAACAGCATGATGGGATGCGCAGTAGGCTACTAGTAGAGAGAACCAAATATGTAAAGCACATTTTTGTTAATTTATGATTTGCTGCATATAAATAAAACAAAAATCCTCTGTCGTACCATATTCAAGTATCATTATTTTGCATCGTGTTGAATCGTATCGCCCCGAATCGCATAATGTTGAATCAAATCGTATCGAACTGTATCGCAACAGGGGTGAATCGTAACGTATCGCATCGCCTGGTGTTTCAAATGTATCGTATGTTGGCAACGTATCGAGATGCGCATCGCATCGGCCTCAGTGATGGAGATGCACATCCCTACCATGCACGCATTGAGCGTGAGAGTCACGCAATTAACCCATATATCACGCACTCACGCCACACTCTCCTGTCAGACTGAGAGAGATAACTACAGCTCAGGGAGGTAAGGGACTCTGAGTGTTTAGATAGTTAACTTTAGTCTAGTTGTCTCAGTAGGTCTCAAACGGTTTGGTCACCATTTATGAGAATAAATGAAAAACAGTTATGAAATACTATATGACAGTAAAACAAGAATACAGTTTAAAAGGTGAGTGATTTGTAAAATATCCATAAAGAAAAAGAAAATGTGTTTACAGTTCTGTTTCATATGGGTGTTGAGAGATGTATCCATAAATTCATTTTGCTCTCAAAGTGCACCAGGTTGATGCATTTAACTTCAATATTTTTTTTAAAATCTTCCCGGGGGAGCATGCCCCCGGACCCCCCTTGAGGAGGTGAGGAACTGGCTGTTCACCACACAACTAAGAATACCCAGGTAGTGTTATTTATTAATCTAGATTGTTTGGGCCAGAGTTACAGAGTGTTATCTTAAATATAATGGAACTAGATGGCGACTACATTTGAGCAACAGCACTGTCTCTTTCCAGGACTCATGACCCAGTCACTAAAGATAATAAATAGCTGGTTTTGAGCAGTTTCATCTAGGAACTATATTATTTTTACCAAATAACACCCTCTTACAAAATGAGTAATATAAGGCATACATTTCTGAATTTGGGCTGAACTGTCCCTTTAAAAGTGTTTTTTGCACCAAACAAGGACTCAATAATTCCCTGAATGAACTCACAAACAATTTAATTGAATTGAAAGAATGCAAAGCTATGGTACATCACTAAGCATAGTTGTATGTTGTTAGTATACACAGTATATTAACCTCTCTCTCACCTCTCTAGTGTCTGGGCCTTATCCATTGGGCGTTGATAGCCAGCACCCCCTACACAGCGATTCCAGCGTACGGCTGGGTGATGTTTGTGGCAGTCACTCTGTGGATCCTCACCACCATCCTCTTCCTCACGATCCTGTTCAACGCCCAGCAAAAAATCACCTTTATCCCTTGGCCCCTGACGGTAGGAAGGAAGGGACTATGGGAGGGGAGGAGGCCAGGAGGAATATAAAGAAACGTTTTTCAGACTTGTTTTGCTTGCTTTCAAAACATTTAACATAATGGATAAATAATCATTTAAGTTTGACTAAAAGACGTTCTTGGTTATTATCGGTGAGGAGTTTAGTGTAAAGAAATTCCATCCACTTCAACAGCAAGAAGAGCATAGACAGAAATCTGTCAGGTGAACAACTAACACAGTCTCCCTGTGCAAATTATATTAGTTGGGTTGGGGGATTTTGTCATTAAATGTATTAAAGGAACCCTATTATGCTCATTTTCAGGTTATGTAAATGTATTTTTTGCCTCTACTGTCACATGTCCCCATGCATTAATGTTCAAAAAGCTCTTTATTTTTCTCATACTGCCTGTGCTGCAGCACCTCTTTTCACCCTCTGTCTGAAACCAAAGCCCAGTCTGCTCTGATTAGTTAGCAGGCATGCTCTGTTATGATTGGTCAATGCTAAGTGATGTCCCGCCCCTTAGTCTATCACGTGCAATGCGTTGGAGGGTTAGCCAATAGAAGTGCGAGTGTAACGCAGTGATGTCACTATGTTACGGAAGTATACAAAGGACTACAATCAATGCGTTTCAGGTAGAGGGGGAGTGGGAGAGAAACTCCCTCTGGAGGGAGCTATGGGATTTTAGCCTTTGCAGACCATTTACATGCACATAAACCTATATAACACACTACAGGAAAGGGAAAACAGAATAGCATAATTGTGACCCTTTAATCAATTCTTCATAAACAAGAAAAAGTCAGCATAATTTAGATTGAAGTGTCACTGTGAAGGATCATTTGAGGTTTAGTCAAATTAAGAGTTTGACTAAAAAAGTCGATGGAGGAAGAGGTAAGATATGGAACAACTCAAAAGAAAAAGACAACAAAGAGGGGACAAAGGGGGAAACAAGGAAAGAAGCTCTGAGAGAAATGTGGCTAATTGTTCTCCTTTTTGTGCTAGGTGATGGTGTATACCGCTGCAGCCACGGTCCTCTATCTGACGGCCTTCTTGACCAACGCCTCAACTGTGCATCCCTACCGATACTTTAATTTCTATGGACATTTGGCAGCTGCTGCTGTAAGATGCCTGACACCACTGTCACTCACTTAAATATAAAGGCATGAATTAATATGCAAGAATCACTATGACATCACCCTCTGATCATTTGTCTGTAAAGGCAAATACTTCTGAAAATAATCAATATTTTGGACAAAAAATCCAGGAGTCTTGTATTCAGTTAGTCATACAACATTGGAATGTTTTCCCTCCCTCGCTGTCACTGTTGAGTGATTATGTTAGCATTTGTTCTTATCAGGCTGTGGCAGGTAGGCTATAACCGAAGCTCAAGATATGACAGAGGCAGAAAGAGAAGGGTGACACGGATCACATGTCTGGAAACATGTCATGTGATATGTGTTTTAAAGAGCAGTTACCTTTGTACCCCAGCTGTCACTTGCTCCTCCCCTCTGCTGAGTTATTGTTCAATAATTTAAAAAAAGGTGGATGTAAGTCAACAGATGGAATGTGTGTGTTTGTGAGATTTAAAAAATGTCACAGTAAAGATCACCAGTGTCAGATACAGGGCCTTTTTATTGTCTGTTATTGGCTAAAGTCCATGCTGGTTTACAGCTACAGTAGCATTACCAGATATGATTTCACACACACACTCTCCACCCTGGCCCCTTTGCTATCGCAGACTCCTTGCAATATAATGCCTCTGAAGCACAGGAGAAAGGATACATAAGCATGTATCATGCATAGTGGCAAATCAGGACATGGTTAATAGATTAACCATTGATCTGCTTCCTGAAGTTGTTAAAGAAGTTTAATTGTGTCTCTTTTCCCCTATTACCTCTCTGTTCAGTTCTTCGGTGCCGTAGTGACTGTGGCGTATGGAGCCAGTGCTTTCTTCTCCTATTTGGACTGGAAGGGAGATGGAGGAAATGCTGCAACCAACACAGTGCCGACCTAAGACTGAAACCTGTTGAACTGGTCGGGACACAGACTCCTTGTGAACTCTTTAAGAAACTGTAGTTAGCTATATGGATGATCTACTGCTGAGTATAACTGCTGACTCCTGACGTTTCAATATCCTGAGTATTAATAATAAGATGAAACCTAATTCAGACTGAAGATATCGTCAGGTATTTTACTTTTCAGTCCAACTCAATAGCGTCTAACCTTCAAATTGTGAAAAAATGTTTTGGCAGCAATGGATTCTCCACCTGAACTGCACTGTATCAATACAACAACATCTTTATTTCAAGGTGATCTGATAAACTGCACTGAGGTCTGAATAGGCGTCCATGAAATAATATATTCAATAATAGTATTGTAAACAAATAAATATGATAGTGGTTCAAATGTAGGTTATACAATGGTGTGATGGGAAAATGTATTTTTAATTTAAATGCCTGCTTACCAAGAGATTGATATACCCTTCTTAGGTCTGTATATGAAGCTATGTTGAATACACAAATAAAGCAACCGCTTAGCTTAGCATAAAGAATGCAAGGGGGAAAGCTAGCCTAGCTCTGTTCGAAGGTAACAAAATACACTCACAGTAAAGCTCATTTTGTTATCTTTGAAAATAGCTAGGCTATCTTTTTGCCCATGTCTAGCCTTTATGCTAAGCTATTTGGCTGCATACCTTATCTTTACACATACATTGAGTGTAGCATCAACCTTCTCATTTAACTTTCGGCAAGAAAACATAAGCCTATTTTTTCCAAAATGGCAAACTATCTATATATTTAAAGTAAGGTTACCCAACCATGGAAGAATGTATTTAGAACTTCAGGGCTAGTGCAGTTATTGTTCATGATTTAAAAGTCAAACTTGGCCACTAGATAATAAAATGGCATTGGTAATGAATGGTGTTAACGGCTCTAACGGTGTGTCCTTGGTTATTAATGAATGAATCCATGTTCCTGTGGCTATAAGAGGACTAGTTCACAATAACACACCGCTTACATTAGCACTGGGCAGCCTGACTCAACTTTGATTTTAAACATTTCTGCAGTGTGTAGCCCTAGGACTGTCATCTATCAAGAAGAACTATGAAGATACATTGAGATTGTTTGTTTAGCATTACCTGTTTACAGAGCGCGTTTGTTGAGTAGGTCCATGTTGGAACATGCTTGACGCTTGCGTTTGCTTTCTGTGATGATCATATAAGAAATGATCTAAAATACTAAGTTATAGCAGTGCAGAAGGTTTAAAGACTAATAGTAACGTAAAGTCGTGCAGAAATCCAATTCGATGTTCTAAACAGGAAATCCAGACTCATTCATAAATTCTCCATGGACCTAGCCAAAGCACTGAAACACGGAAAGTGAGTCTTTCAAGAATGTATGTTATAAAGATGCATGGTTTCTGCGGGACATTAAGACCCTTTAATTATTCAGATATTGTTCTTCTAAGTACTGAGCTGTGGAACAAAAGTGTGTAACATTTTTTTCTTTGATTTATATGAGACAGGGCTAAACTCCTGCTGTATGTGCCTTTATAAAATACGTTGTGTCATTTTGTACCAAGAATTACAATACTAGTAAAACCATATGTTGAGTGCTGGGGCTCAAGCATGCACTTGATCAAATAAAAAAACACATGAAATTCAATGTAAGTCTTTTAAATGTTTATTTAAAAATATCGTTTTACCAACAAATGAAACATCAGAAAATACCTTTGACATTGTACTTAAAACATACATCTTATTTTTAATTGCAGACACACGCACATGCTCTCACACAGACACACAGTCACTAAATACCTAAAGACTGACTTTCACAGGCGCAAAGCTCAATCGAATACGTTTCAAACTGACAAAATAATTTAAAACTTCATAAAACATATATTATTTTCTTACAAAAAATACCAACCCAGGCAAAGAGAGCCGAGTTACACATTCACACAAATGGTCTCCTCTGCTTACAGGGGGGTTTGTTGATACATTCACATAAGAACCAGTGAGAAGACATGAAAAACATACATTAGTCCAATGCAGCACCAGAGTCCTTCTCCGTTATTGGGCAGAACTTGCAAAGACATCAAATGGTGCGTAAATCTGTAGATTCCAGGTACACACATGTCCATATTTCAAGTAGTCATTGTGCCCAGTGCAGTGGTTGCACAGTAGAAAGAAAGATCTCACTCATTAACTAGAGGGCGTCTTAAACACACATACCTTCGCCACATAAAACACAGAGGAATGCATTTACAATTTGGCCGTTAGGAGTCCTTTGTGCACAGACTGTAGATTTACGGGGAGTGTTTCCAGCAGCTCATCATTAGACTGCAAAGCTCTGAAGGCCCATGGACAAAATGTTAAATAAACATGTGCTGTAGAGGAGGAGGCAATTCAAATGTTGGTTCTCTGTGAGTGTCACTGCGCCTCAGAGGGTCCTGCGGGGATCAGAGATGTGACCACCAGTCCCTGACTCAGGTCCAGCCCTCGGCCCTCCTTCTCCTAGAACCACAAATAAAAGTCTATTTGTAACAGTTCTTCATAAAAAATGCCTTGATGGCTATGTATCCCCCGTGTGCACACGTTATGGTTGATTGTCATAATTGACTATTTAATCAATTTATTAAGCCACATATTTACCATACTTTTTAGATCTTGGCATTTTCTAACTACATATCTTTAACCTCAGAAAGGATTTTCTACGTGAATTCGCTTTATTTGATGTTTTACTGATTTTAGTCAGTTTGTTTTGTAGAGGACGAGATATCTGAAGATAATTTGTCTCCCAGTAAAAGCCTCTTATAGATGAAACTGAATAAATCCTAGAAGTGCAAAGATAACTGCCTCACAAACGATGACATTGGAGGTAGGGAAAACAACTTCCATAATTCCACGCTGTTGGGGAATATTTTCCAAGGCCCATAACTTTGACCCAGTGTATCAGTTCAAACTGTCCTGACTGAGCACAGGCACCTGTAACCTTGGCTGCTGTGCTCTCAGTGTTTTGTCTCCCTGTTCCTGCCTGTTGGCGTCAGCTGATAGAGGTGTTATCATTCTATCTTGTTATGCAGCATGTTGATGATGCTCTCTGAACTAGCTAAATACACGGGTCTGGGGTAGAGTTCTTCAGAATGGACGTGGCAATTCTACCGTGCAGTCAGATCGTGGCTGCTGTGACTTGTGATGTGAATCCTCCAGCCGAAGCTCCAAATAAACCATCAGTGTTTGACATCAAAGCTCCTGCTCTTCCCGTGTCTCTTTCCTGAGTCGGTGACTCCCACTGCATAGCTGCACAGAAGTTTCCCTTACAGACGCTACTTGAGAATCTGACCAAAGTAAGTCTTTTGTTGATGTATCAGTTTTGTTGATTTGTTTCAAGAGACCCCTACCAGGAATTTGCATATTGTACTTTTTAAGTAAAGCGTGATAAAAAGATGTTTAACCACTTGTTTTTACCCAACCGTCTGCAGAAATCAGTATAGATTTAAATGTGCATGAACACAGGCTTACCCACTGTCAACATACCAAGTAAAAACATACAAAAAAGAGAATCCTAACCAAAGTAGGTTTAACTCACCGCTCTGTATTCCAGAAACATCTCTTTAAAGGCTGCAAAGTCAGTAAAGGTCAGCAGCATGTCAAAGATGTCCCCTGGCACCTCCTCTTTGTGTTGCCTGCACATGGAAGAGGGACACATGGGGAAATGTAGTTTAGTGCCGCCTAGTTGCCGAATATAAAATACAACTTCTTAGATGCAACAGGCACCACAACACATTTTTGTTTTATTCTATAAACTACTGACAACATTTCTCTGTGTTGCAATTCAACAGACACTGGAATGGAATGGCTGCCATACATGTAGAGATTGAGTTTTAAGAAAATGTTTGAGTGGTCTCGTCATTTTTTCCAGAGCTGTATGTTATCAGTGGAAGTCATTGTAGGAGCTCAGGGGAGAGTTGTGATGTCACATCTTACATGAGCAGCTCTATGAAAGAGTTCATGTTGAAGGTGGGGATCCTCTCCAGCAGCTGCTGCTCCAGGTGTTTCTCCAGCAGGTCGACCTACACCACAGTCAAGAGTAACGAAATAGGTCTTAGTTTACATCCCTGACTACTCGACAGAGCTGTAAAAATGAAAGACGATGTGGTCAAATCTGAGATATCTCCGAAGGGACGTGTGTATAGTACATAGACAGGGTAATACAAATCAGATAATTGTATGGCGTGTTCTTCAGAGACAGGTGAGGGAGATACATTGGACCACAGCAACTCACATATTCATTGAAGATGGACGTGTAGCTGAGCTTGTTCTCGTCAGAGTCGTCAAACTCCAGGTAGTGTTTGTCCATGAAGTTCTGCTGAAGCTGCTGAAACTCCTCCTCTAAAGAAAAAGTCATATCAATATCGGAAACACTTGAGATGTAGGTTTAGCAAGGTAGTCTTTAAAAGAATGTCTAGGATAACATATGAAATACTCGTTATACTTTTCAGTAATAGAATGTTCACCACGAATGAACAGATCCAGACAAATAGTTGGAGCACTTTAGGAGCATACCTCCCAATATTTGTATATAATACATCTTAAAGACACAAAGTTCCTCATTTTCAGGAACAAAAAGATAATATTGGATGTTTCTTCAACATCAAACTATGATTATCACTTCTTACTTTCCGGTGGCTGAATATAAATCATCACAAATCAAAAATAGTAAGACCAACACAACAAAATGCTTACAGAAAAGGCTGAAGGTGTTGCTTAACTAATCCTACCCATGATGATGTCCTCTATTGAGCCAACAACAGCATCAAAAGCAGCATCTGCAGCTGAGGAACTGGAGGAAAAAACAAGACACACCATTCAGATGTAAAAAAGCAGACTGTATATGCAGCACATCACCGTATATTGTATCATTTGTTCTAGCTTGAGCCTCGTAAGATAGAACTTGACACTTGATCGTCATGGCACTAGCTCCCCTTAAGCCTTAGCTAATGCTCAAGTCTTGAGCATTCAAAATATAAAATACTTAGACAGCGAGAGACAAGTCTTCAATTACCACTCAGCTTGAACAATACATTATTTTTCATTTGCATTTGGTTTCGAAAAGCAAACATGAACTCAGAGCTCTGAATGTAAACCATAGTTTCTGGATTGTGAGTACCTACGTGGAAATAACAAAGTTTTCTTCGTCCATGTCAATCATTTCTACGATGTTGTCTCCACAGCCTCGGACATCTGGAGGATGAGGAGAGGCAATATATGAAGATGTTGTGGTGAAAATCAAAGCTGTTAGCTATGCAAAACAGCTCGGTTAGCTGCAAGTGTTCACAATACATTTCGTTGCACCACACAGACAGTAAGGGCTAACGAGTTTGTTAACGTTACCGAAGAATAGCGTTACTTAACGTTAGGTGGCTAGTAAAGCTAACGGTTAGCGTACGTTAGCTAAATGCATGCGAAGTGTCAGTTTGTTAGCTACATGTTAGCATTGTCCTCACTAAACGTATTACTTCACCCCTACCTTGAACTAATAATGATAGTCAAATAATCTGTCTTACTTCGTTCCTGGATGTCCATGTCGTTGAATAATCGTTACTGTGTATGATGAATGCCGAACGTAGTGTTGTTACCAAGGAAACGGTGGCGAACTTAGTGTGCGCAAATGAGTTGCGTCCGGTAGAACAAAAGCTTCGTACATTGGTTCCTACCTGAAACATATATCGTTTAGCATCGATTATTAGATAAATTAATTACTATTATTTTTACCGAGATTACTGAAACAACGCTTGCTTCCTGTGCTGGAATTTCACTCAAATGTAAGCAAATAATCTAAATACTACCATCCTTCATCCTTCTTTACTAAGTTCAAGTATTGGTATCATGGATGTATAAGTAGCTATATTGACTGTGACCAATTGTTATTTAAGGAATTAATTTCTGTGTAAATTAGTGTCTATTATGAAGTTTACAATATGTGTACTAGCATATGTTATTAGCAAGTGTTTCTGTAAAACAACTGGAACGCCATTGTTAAAGATGCAGATTATTGTCACTCCTATTTTAAGACACAAGATAATTTGAGATAAGTAAACACCACTTGTTGGTCATAACCTCACATGAACATACATTTATTTTTACAAATATCACAATCCAGGAAACAACAATTCGTCAGTCACACCTAGGGAACTCTTGAGCAAAATTCCTTTATCGATGTTTTAAATACAACCCACAACTTATTCTATACAATCCTGAACTTCATCTCCAACCATAGAGACCAACATATCATTTCTCTCACCTGCATGTACAGTATAAGGTGCTCCAGGAAATACAAGAGAGCAAACCAGTCTTTCTCCTACTGAGAGATGCATGTTACCCTTCAGAAATCCTTACAGTATAGTCTGAATGATTTCACAGATCCTTTTCATGCTATTTGGTGGAGTAGTAAATCTGTCAACAACAGTTTGTCCAAGATAAATTCGAAATTATTCATGGTGGTCATTTGAAATGACATTGATTTTTGTAATTGTACAAATAGTTCTTCTTGAATAACTACCTCTCCTATTTCATCACCCGTTTCCAAAATGTCATTCAGTCAACCCAGAGATGCTTCAAGTAAGAGATGGAC